ACAAAATGTTCTACTTCCTTGCGGGCGACGCCGCATGAACCGTGGGTTATACATGCGTTTTGTTCCTGACGTTGATGGCGTGTTCATCGTCTTGGTTTTATTTTTCATAGCTGAGAACTACTTACAAAATATAGAAAATTATTATATTTCAAGAACTGCTGGCGCCTGAACGTCCGACCGTCGGACGGTATCATGGATCGGGCCGATTCGTTTTCTGGCGTGCGCCTACACTCCGCGCCCCTCGCCCATGCCAACTTTTCAAGTGCCCACCCAAGGGCCGCGCCTGTGGGGGAGAGAGTCGCTGACGTCGAACGTCATGTTTATGACATTACCGTTATATTTCAGTTGCCTTTTCTATTTGTTATTTTCATGAGACAAAATGTGGCTTTGATTCCAGTCTTCAGAAAACGACTCCCATGCCGCTTGCAGATTTAGATTAGGCATGATGCATGGTGTCTGCCTGTCTCTAACGTGTATGGAGGACTACAGCATGATCTATAGGCAAAAAGAAAAAAGAAAAAAAAAAGGAAATGTATGGTGGGCCGCTAATAGACTTCAATTGAGGCCAGACCATGACTTGCTCGCGCGGTCAGCCCGTTCGTTTCCTAGCTCGGAGTAGTGGAACATGTCATGCGCGAGCGAGCGAGAGGCGGACACGGTCCGTGCAAGCACGTACCCAACGAAAGCCAACCTTGTTAGCTCCTTGTCGGTCGCGAGTAGGATTCCTCCATCTGTTTTCCTGATCGATCGATCAACCAGTTTTCAATCATCGACGCAGGAATAACGCTCCTCTGTTAAAGATTTGCACGCATACGTACGTCCGGTCCCAATACCAGTTTATGCGATCCGTTCAAACAAATAAGAAACAAACAAACAAAAAAAGAGTATGCGTTGTTAATTGGTCGAGTCGATGATCAAGTCAACCGGCCGGGAGAGGTCGATACTCTTGATGATGAACCGTGTCAAGACCCGGGACGAGGCATCCATCGTCCTGGATCGGATATGCATGCTTGATTGCGTACTACTAGTAGAAATTCAGACGTGGGCCTCGTTCGCTATACTGAAAAAACAAGCTAAAATACTGTTCCGATTGATTTATTATGAGAGAAAAATACTGTTCCGACTAAATAAACAAACTAAAAAGTACGGATTAGAAGAAAAGCGAACATGCCCGTTGTCGCGATGTTGCGTCGACAGCACGAGCACTGTGCGTCTATCTACGCGCGCGGCCGCAGCAACCGGCGTCGTCGACTCGTCGTCTTTGCCTGCATGCTCACGCACCGACGCACCGTGGGTTCACACGGCTTTTGTTTCCCCGGTCGCGGCGGTCGGTCAGGGTCCTCAGGGACTCGATCGGGGTCACGGCTCGGAATTATTGCTACTCCCTCACGACAGGCTCCAAGTCATCATGCTGGATTGCTGGGTTTATGCTAGCGCGAGTTACGCGCGTGCGTGTAGTACTCGCTTAACCGTCACTGCAAAATTATTGCCGCCATGTGCGCACGCACCGCCGCACGGGACGGCGCGCGGTAACATTCCGGCCTCGCCAACCACCGCGCGGAATCATGGACACATGCCGACGGTGTCGTCGTAAATAAAAATGATCCCAAGTTTACAGAACCTCATATATAGGAGTGAAATTAAACGCGAAATAAAATTAACGCTACGTTTATAAACGTACCCCGAGGATCTCTGAAACCACGGATGAAAAGTAATATGTGCACGTGAAACTTATTTTTTTTAATAATGGAAGAAAAATGTAATTTTACGAAGTACTTTATTTATAAGGTCTATAATAGTTGGTGAACAGAAGGGGCGAACATGGCAAGAAGCAGCACGGAGGACGGGATCAATGCTTGTTACGCACTTACGTGGTACTACTCCACTAGGAAACATCTCTGTCCGTGTTTGCCGGAGTCTCCCGGCGGCGACGACCACCGGCTGAGAGTAATTTATCGGCTAATCGGCAGCCTCGCGCCCAGCTTAATCTGGGGCATTCAAAATCGGCGAGACACCTTCGCGTGACACTGATGACACGGACCGCCGGGACCCACGGGCCACCGCCAGCCTTCGTCTCCACGCCTGCGATGTCACGGGGCGGGTTCACCGAATCACCGATCCCCTGCGCCGCGGCAGAACAGCGTCGGCGCGCGCTACCAGGCCACGGTCCACGGAGGAGCGCCCCACCGCGCGCTTTGCGATTTAAGACTTGCGAGCGGGAGCGTCGCGGTGGATAAGATCCGGTGGGGGCGCCCCGGGGGAGCGGGGTCTGCGCCGTCTGCGCGTAGTACTCGTGGGGCCGATGAGCGGGTGGTCGGTAGGGCCCGCTTGGCGGTGTGCGAAGAAGAGGCTCACACGTTTGACCCTGACGACGCCACGTGGGAGAGGCTAATGGTCCGACGTGGTCAGCGGCCAGGAACAGGACGCCCGGGGTACAAGGCGGCCTGTTTTTTTTATATACCCCGTAATAAGGGATAAAGGGAAATCAATTTGCCCACTGGTTCGTAGAAACTTGAATGTTTATTAATGGGTTGGGATATCATAAGAAAGTTTAGACAAGATTTGCATAGAATCTCTAACAGTAAATGACTTTCTAGTGATGCATGTTCAACTTTCTATTTGCACATCAAACGGATTTTCTTGTCTCATCACGGTACAAAATGAGTACTCCTTCCATCTTAAAACATAAGTTATTGAAGTATTTAAAAATTATATTAAATAATAAGGTATTCTAGGTGAATGAACTTTCTCCCCAAACCACCAATCATATGTATACCTGCCATTAGTATCTACTAATAGACTTAAAATATGACGAGATACAAGAATTTCTCTATAAATAGAGGGTTACATACGTTATTTATTTATATTACTATCTTAAGATTTTTTGCTAGAATACCTTATATCGAGGAAGAAGTGGACAGTAAGTATTTGTGGTAGTTCCTTAGTGCCACTAAATATTTGGGTGAACTTCCTATATGTCCTCAAAAGTTACCAAGATTAATACTCTGTCATCGAAATTTTTCTCATCCCTCGTGTCCTATAAATTTTATTCGTTCATTCCGCATGTGCCACTGCCTTTTAAGGGAGTTAACTTCAACGGTCAAGACAAAACAACGCATGTACGATGAAAAATAACTTATCTTAAGCAGTGGCACATGAAGATAGATTTCAATAGATGATGATTAAGGACATCAATGCCAATATTAATTGTAGATTTGCGGTGGATATTGTTGTCAACAACAAAACATCTATGCTAACTTTGTTAATCTCAAGATCAACCATCTATGTGGGAAAGCTTTCTTCAAAGTCTTTGCAATAACATTATTTGAATAATAATATTAAGAATGGTCACTCAAGAATCATACATGAATAGTGTCATATTTGTAACTGTATTTTTAGGCAACCCAAGGAAACAAGCGTGCTTGTCTATTTGTATGACGTCTCTTGTCCTAATAGACGTACAATGCTACTCTTTCATATATTTCCAGGAATATGCCTAGATCACCAATCTTATATTTACCTAGTCACACCGCCACCTTATGTCTCCTAGCATCAATATATATCATGCACCACGTCATCTTATGTAACTTTTGAAACCATTTCCTATACATGTGCCTTGCTATGCTAGGGTTTGACGTCAATTATTTCCCGTCTTTGCTACCGAGCTCCATATGTTCCTATGCCAATGTTAAATGCCGACCTTATTGCTTCAACTCCACTTCATGCCTTATGGATCTACAACAATCTAATATATGATTCCTGTCTTGGAGTACCATCAAACAACTCCTTTCCTCTTTGTGATTTACGGTGCCACTATTACTCAATTCTTGTCTTAGGTGACTGAATCCTCAACTAGGTTTAAGATCAAAGAGCAATTCTAGCCAATCTAGATCTAATGTTGAAAGAGCGCTAATATAAGGCTAGGTAACGAATGTTTTGCTTTTCTACCGTCAATGTTTGACAAGCCTCTAATGATCTAAGGTTTAAGACGATGGTGAAAATATAAGGTCTCTATGATCTTGCCTCATTTTTGGCATTACAGAGCCAGATTACTTTGCTATAATTGGATCCGACAAAAAGGTATGATTGAACCACCCTCCAAAGTCTATTTATTTTGTAAATGAATATTTATCTATTTCGACCACTTATACTAAATATGATATTTATCGTGAGGAAGTACTTATAATATATAGAAGAGCAAAAGGGAAATAAACTATCTTGTCCATCGAAAGTTCCCCTCAATTATCATCCACCAAACACCAAATAGGCATCCCGACGAACAGGGAAATTTCATCACGCTTCAGAGACAGGAACCAAATAACCAATCGGCCTGTTCGTTTCGACTGAAACGATCGTGGATTATTTACTGCTGGCTGGTTTAGCTGGTTTGGTGTGAGAAAAAATTATTATTTCAACTTATAATCCACGATCCTATACGATGTATAAGCCCAGCCGAACATGTTGAATAGCTCTCCTCTGTCAAAGTCGTAAAGATAGAATGTAAACACGCACGAACAAAGACATGGTCATAGTATTGTTACCTATAAGAAACAAAAAATAAAGATAAAAAGGAGAAAAGAAAATACTAGGGAAGCGTAGCAAGCAACCAGGCAAGAGGGGCTCAAGCCAACAACCGAATAGAGAGAGCAGAGGACACACTCACAGGCGCGAGGCCGCATAGACGGAGCAGAGCAGCTAGAGGAGAGAGGCGGCGTCGCGGCGAGGTGGAAGTGGAAGAGAGGAGAGAGAGATAGAGGGGGTGAAGGTGCGTGGGTAAAAAAGAGGAAACAAAAAAGGAAACGAGCGAGGCAGAGAAAACACAAGCAAACAGACGACAACAAAAATAGGAGGTCGGAGGCGACGAGCGGGAGGCGGAGGCGAGGAACAACGTGAATAAAAGTTTATTCGGAGAAACAAGGGAAGCTGGGGAATCGCGTCGGAATTCCGGCGAATCGGCGGGATCCGGCCGGGATCTGCGCGCCGGATGAGGGGTCGGCACCATGAAATGGTCCACATTGCTCAGTAAGGTCGTCTTCGCCGCCGGCCAGCAGCAGGAGCAGCAGCCGGCCCCCCCGCCGCCGCCCCCGCCGCCGGGGTCGCCGTTCCACCGCCAGCAGGCGGTCCAGGACCTCGCCACCCCGAGGCTCAGCTCCGCCTCCACCGGCGGGGATGAGGGCGGCTTCGACGCAGCGGCCGGGAGCTCGCCCTCTGCCGCCGCGTCCCCTGCCAGGTGGGTCCCCCAGCCGAGTCAAACGCCTCTATACTTGTCTCGCGTTGCCTGAATCAAATCCTGTGTCTGGTGATGCATGGCCAGCTCCGATGCGATCCCGTTACTCCCTTTTTCCGGGTTTAGCAACGACAATCGGATTTAGATTCGGAGATGGTTCGATCGTAGATGCTTGCTTTTCCGTTTCATCTTCCCGTCTTTGGTTGTTTGGTGATTTAGTTGGCAAGATGCGGGACTATATGTTGTATTAACGTTTTGACTCATAGGGTTGATATCAGTGAAATGTTTTTTTAGCTCGAGCTTGGTGATAGTGCTGCAGTTATTTTGGTTTTGCTCTTATGTCGATGATAGACGATGATGGTGTTTTCAGAGGAAATGATGCTGGACTAGGATGGTGCCTTGGAGAGAAATGATGCCGGACTAGGACGGTGGTTGGGCGAGTCGGTAGCTGCATAGTCAATTTTATGATCTGTATGCCATGCCTGAAGGAGTGAAGGCCACGACCCTTGTCCTTTTGTTTGTTGTGCTTTCGTAGAACAACGGGGCTAATGTGTTTTTGCATTTCTCGTAGCAGAGAAAGTGGAACTTTTAGCAATCTTGATTGGGGTCAACTTTATAGTCTGGTTTGCTTGATTTGTCGGTTTATGTTTGAACTCGGATGTTGTAAGATTATTGTGGCACATGCCATTCTAAGGTGGTGTGAAATTCGGTTGACTGTTACCACGCTGCTAGGGATACGCTCCTTCATTGATTTTTTTGGTTAGATTTCCTGTGTTAGATACTTCTAATGATGGTTGTTGCTACTACTGTCATATTCTCTGTGACCCCCTTCTGCTGCACAGTCACTCATATTGGCTGGACAGTAGCTGACGAGGGTTGCTATGTCATCAATCTGTGATTAAACATGATTTAGCTGCTTTGGACCCTTATCACAGAGATTGTATATATAAAAGAGAAGATATCTAGTTTACTGGGGAGTGGAGACTTGTAAGCCATACATGTTTAGCTTTTGGTCTGAAATTAAGGTTTGCCATTGCTGCAGTGTTTGTTAAATAGCATTACAGCACCATGAAAGAACAATGACTTATTCATGCACTTGCCATTATAGTATCCTTTGCCTAACTAACTATATAATCACTTGGTAAAGGAACAAATACTATGGTCATGATTGTTCGTTAAGTATGTTACCAGCTATCTTTTCTTGAACACTGTATAGCACTCAGACCTGATAACAAGAGTCTGTACCTCTTATAAGTTTCTATTTACTTTTTTTTTTCTGCCAATCTCTTCAAGCTAACTAATGTACGTGTATGGATTGCATTCTCATCATCACATGGTAGTATATGCACCATCGGTTAAGTTCCTGTATTCTAGCTTTCAACAATTAAATAAAGAATTTATGTCCATTTCAAATATTGATTGGGAATTTGGTTCTGCTATTTTAAGTGAATGATATTTGCTTCTGCAAAAAATCTTCATGTTCTCCATCTTAACCAAGGATGCAAGTGGGTCTCCAATGATGCTTTGTGGGTCAGCTAGCTGAGTTCATGTCTCCCTTAAATTAATTATGTGGCATGCGATTCTAGTTCATTTTAGCAAGTTTGGGTTGACCCAAAACATGTGGGACTTACATCCCTAATCTTAACATTATTTCTCTTGTACTCAGGGGAAAAATGAATTGAGTCAGACTTTAGGAGATTATGGGAAGAATTTCGCTCTTCCAGCTCTGAAAAGGTACCCTGACACTTGTTTTATTTTTTTTTCACCATAAATCAATAGTAAGACCTTGTGAGCTGGTTCTTGCCTTGACATTGTATTCTGTTTTTTCCCTCTGCAGGAGAAAGAAAGGGCCTTAAATTTGGCTGTAGATGTCTTCTGTAGGCTAGTGAAGCAATATTCTAGTGTAGCTCAATTAGTTACAAAGTATGACTCTTTACAATTGCACACACTACTTTCAGTAAATTATGCTGTTACATTGCATTTATTTCAGTGAGTTCATGTCTACTCTCTATTTTAGAAAACTGAATAATGGTCTTCTGTTTCTTCCCTTCATAATTTCTACAGGTTAGTAGAAGGACATGTTTTTTCTTTTGTTATTGGAAGAGCTTTTGTTACTGATGTGGAGAAACTAAGAATCCACAGCAAAGGAAGATCACTGCATGTGGCTAATGTTATTGGCTTCTTTTCAGATATCACAGAGGTTTGTTCTTATATTGTTTATCTAGTGCAATTTCTGGATTCCAGGTCGCCATACACTCTCTTAACTCATTGGTTCCATGATCCAGCTTGGTATATGTCCAGGATCAAATTTGTTGTACGCAGTCAAAGTTCTTGTGACAGAGGTTAGTGAAATTGCTATAATATGACAAAAAGGAGTCTATTTTTCATGCAGTATACTGTCTGTTATTGCAACGTTTATTAAAGCATGCAATTAATAGTACAAAGAAGCAAGAGACATCTTTTTTCTGAGTTCTACACAATTGATATCCAAGTGTATTGGGGGTGTCTGGTGGTTCATCGATAAAAATTTACTTAGCTATGGACTTGCTTGCTGATATTATATTTCGTATCCAATATGAAACACAATTACACAGTTTACCAAATGTTTAAACTAACAAGCATCTCTTGTCATGTTTAATTTCATGGTTACAGACAAATGATAAGCAACCTCTGTTGGACTCTGGTATTTTGTGCTGCCTGATATATATCCTGAATTCTCTATTGAGTCCCAATGAGAACTCCACAAATACCTCGCCTGTTCACCAAGAAGGATCCAGAATTGAAAAAAACAAAAATTTGGATCCTATGCAATCACGACGGCTTGAGGTAATCTCAATCTTCTGGTTCTCATAGAAACAGGGCCTTATTTGCAAGATGCACTGTTGACATACACAAAATCGGAAATTGTTTTAACATAAGGTTGCTGCTTTGTCTGTATTATTACATGTATTTTGCTTTTTGTTCATATATGTTATATGGTGACTATATTTCTTCCCTTCATTTTCTCTTGGTCAACTTGGGTTTTGATTTTTATTCTTTTTTCTGTTCTATGGAGATCGAGGGAAGCGTAATACATATAATGAAAGCACTGGCGAGCCATCAATCTGCTGCACCAAGTTTAATTGAAGATGATGCCTTACAAGTTCTTTTTCCACATGGTTGCAAATGGTTCACTATCTGTGTTTTCACAGTTCAGGGATGGTATTGTTCCTTTCACACAATTCAGCTCCATCGCCATGCGATGCAGGTAATTTGAAACTATGTAACATTATGTTTTGGAGGGTCATGTTTCTGCTGCACCAATAGTTGCTAAATATATTGAGTTCATTACTGAACAGGTCCTTGGTCTTCTTCTTGCAAATGACAATGGGACTTCTGCAAAGTACATCAGGAAGCACCAGCTGGTACATTACTATCTGTTCTTTATTGTGGATGAAATGTTGTCCTGTTCTTGGGTCTAGTTAGGATTTCACACACTGAAGTACTAAACAGCACATAGCAACGTGCTCTTAGTTATTCAATCTTCACAAAGAATAGCTGTTTTCACTTGGCTAACATTAGAAGTTTAGAACATAAACTTTTGAAGAATGGGAAAATCTTCACTGAAGCATCTTGGTATTTCATTTAGGCCTTTTCTTCTGACATAGACATCCTTTTTGGGCCCCCAGCTAAATCCTGGTAACTGTGCTACCATTTACCAAAGTTCTGTTTTCTCTCCTTTGCTCATCTCTTTTAGAAAGAGTCACTGGTGGCATGCAGGGTTCAACCCCATCCCGCTGGGGTGTTGGGCATATTGTAGCAGTTTCCTTGTATTATTTACTGGAACACCTATTCTTTTGCATATATTTCTATTCAATCTTGTTAACCCTTTCTCCACCATGTCTTTTAGATTAAAGTACTCCTTATGGCTGTGAAAGATTTCAATCCTCAGAGCGGTGATGCTGCTTACACCATGGGCATTGTGGATTTATTACTGGAATGTGTTGAGCTGTCTTACAGGCCTGGTTAGTATTGATGACCTTTGCCGCTCATGTATTTCTTCTGAGTAAGATGCTTTGATTCAATATTTTTCAATGTTTACAAATTATTAAATAACTTCCTTTTGTTTGTGGGGTTCTGGTCGTGTTTCCACCTCTAGCTTATCCTTGCTTGGGATTAAATACTTTGTTGCCATACAAATTGAATGATCACTATTGTCGTGCGCCTAATATCTTAATATCTGGTTTACTTTACAGAGTCTGGGTCCATAAGGCTCAGGGAAGACATACATAATGCTCATGGTTACCAGTTCCTTGTTCAGTTTGCTCTTACGCTTTGTAGCTTACACAAAAATCAGACTCTCCAATCCTCATCCAAGTTAGCATCTGAAGAGGATGCATCCGTTCCTTCTCACAGATTAGAACAAGATATATTCTCATGTGACCTTTCACCTCAGTTGTCTAGGTTGCTTGATGTTCTTGTAAATTTGTCACAAATTGGCCCCTCAGAAAATGGTGGTGGTAAGAGTTTAAAATCTTCTCATGCGAAAGGAACGGGGCACAGCAGAAGCCGAACTCCTTCTGCTGACAAGTTTGACGACATGATGGAAGTTAGTAGCCCCAAGGTAAAAGATCTTGACGCCATTCAGATGCTACAAGATATTTTTCTGAAGGCAGACAACTTGGAAGTGCAAGCCGAAGTTCTCAATAGAATGTTCAAGATTTTCTCGAGCCATCTTGAAAATTACAAGCTATGCCAACAACTACGTACTGTTCCTCTTTTTATCCTAAACATGGGCAGCTTCCCTGCAGCACTACAAGAGGTCATCTTAAAAATATTGGAATATGCTGTCACTGTAGTAAACTGCATTCCAGAGCAGGAGTTGTTGTCACTTTGTTGCTTATTGCAACAACCAATTTCTACCAGTCTTAAGCATACAGTGCTTTCGTTCTTTGTAAAGCTACTTTCCTTTGATCAGCAGTACAAGAAAGTTCTTAGAGAAGTTGGTGTCCTGGGGGTATTGTTAGATGACTTGAAGCAAAACAAGCTTTTTTTTGGAGATGAGCAGCAAAATAAGGCCTTTGACTCTACAGAGAGGATGTCTAATGCAACTAACTCTCAGAGGACGGCGGACAACAAAGATGCAATTCTTTCGCCAAAGTTAATGGCTTCTAGTTCTGCAAAATTTCCCATGTTTGAAGATGAAGGGACAATTACTGTTGCTTGGGATTGTCTTTTTTATCTGCTGAAAAGAGCTGAGCCTAACCAGCAATCATTTCGATCATCCAATGGTGTCAACATCATTCTTCCTTTCTTGGTATCTGAAAGCCACAGATCTGGTGTATTGCGTCTATTGTCATGCCTAATAATTGAAGATTCTCTTCAGGTTTGTGTTTGTAGCTGACTATTCCATGAAAATACAAACCATTTTTCTTCTGTAAATACGAACTATTGTCATGCTTGCGAACTTGATTTAATTTTGACATGAGTACTGTTTTCAGTCTCATCCAGAAGAAATAGGGTCATTGATTGAAATCTTGAAGAGTGGGATGGCATCAACCTCATCTGGTTCTCAATTTAAGCTTGAAAATGATGCAAAGTGCGATACATTTGGTGCTTTGTGGCGGATTCTTGGGGCAAACAGCTCAGCACAAAGAATATTTGGAGAAGCCACTGGATTTTCCCTGCTGCTGACGACGCTTCATAGTTTCCAGAATGACAGTGAAAATGAAGGGACTGAATCATCTTTGCATACTCATATGAAGATCTTTGGTTTTCTATTGCGAGCAATGACAGCTGCAGTATGCAACAATTCTGTCAATAGGATAAGGCTGCATACAATCCTGTCGTCGAACACTTTCTATGATCTCCTCTCTGAGTCTGGGTTGCTTTGTGTGGATTGTGAAAAACAAGTTATTTTGCTTTTGCTTGAGCTTGCACTTGAGATTGTTCTCCCACCCACTAGTAACCTGCAGGTAGAGAGCATTTGTTCTGAAACCTCAGAGGATGAATCGAGCTTCTTGTCTGCAACATCGTTTGGACTTTCAAGGCTTGACAAGGAGCGTGTGTACAATGCTAGTGCAGTTGTTGTGCTGATCCGTTCTTTGCTGGTATTTACACCTAAAGTTCAACTTGAGTTGCTGAGATTCATTGAGAAGCTAGCAATTGCTGGTCCCTTCAACCAGGAGAATTTAACTTGTGTTGGTATGGTCAAAAGATATTCTTGCTACTCTTTTCTTTTGACTTATTTTGACATGGCACCTTATGTTTTTGTTACTCTTTTATTACATAGGATGTGTTGGCCTTCTACTTGAGACAATCAGCCCATTTTTGGAGGGTTCTCTCCTATTCTTAATCATGCCTTGAGAATTGTTGAACTGCTAGGTTCTTACAGGTTCGGCATATCTCATAAAATTCCATGCTTCCGTTGCAACAATTTTGTTTCATTGTTTCACAGTACATGGTTACTCTTGTCTTGTCCAGGTTGTCTTCGTCTGAGCTAAGGCTTCTTGTGAGATATATTCTTCAGCTGAAAGTGAAGCGTTCGGGTCATCTTTTTGTTAATATGATGGACAAGTTAATTCAAATGGAAGATGTCAGACAAGGACATGTTTCTCTAGCTCCTTTCATTGAAATGGACATGAGCAAAGCCGGTCATGCATCTATTCAGGTTTCATTAGGAGAAAGAACATGGCCACCTGTTTCTGGGTACTCCTTTGTTTGCTGGTTCCAATTTCAGGACTTCTTTAAATGCCAATCGAAGGAAGCAGAAAAAGCGTCAAAAGGGGCATATAGCAAGAAGAGTGGGCATGTTTTGCGCATATTTTCTGTGGGTGCAGTGGATGATGCTAACACTCTGTTTGCTGAACTTTATCTCCATGACAATGGTGTTTTTACTATATCTACGGGCAGTTCAAGTTCATTGTCATTTCCAGGCATTGAAATGGAAGAAGGAAAATGGCATCATCTTGCTGTTGTTCATAGTAAGCCAAATGCTCTAGCTGGCCTTTTCCAAGCAAGTGTGGCTAGCCTGTATCTTGATGGAAAGCTGAGGCACACTGGCAAGCTTGGATACTCGCCATCCCCATTTGGTAAATCTTTGCAAGTAACACTTGGTACGCCTACTATCCGTGGGAAAGTTTCTGACTTGTCATGGCGGCTCCGGTGTTGCTATCTTTTTTGAAGAGGTCTTGACACCAGGGAGCATTTGTTTTATGTACATTCTTGGACAAGGGTATCGGGGGTTGTTCCAGGACACTGACCTTCTGAGATTTGTCCCAAACTGGGCCTGTGGTGGGGAGGTAATGGCAATTCTGGATTCATTAGAAGTGGAAGTTCCTGCACCTTCAAGCAGCCAGCGTGTTGACAGTTCAATGAAACAAGGGAGCTCTAGACTTGAGAGCAGTGGAATTGTTTGGGACATGGAACGCTTAAGAAATCTCTCCTTACAATTGTCTGGGAAGAAGCTTATATTTGCATTTGATGGGACTTCATCAGATGCTTTTCGAGCATCTGGGACTCTTTCGCTGCTGAACCTTGTCGATCCAACTTCTGCTGCTGCATCCCCTATAGGAGGTGTGTAATGTCATCTAGCTATTGAATTTACATTTTCTGTTTTTGAATTGGATATGCCAGAATTCAACTAGTTATGTTAACAGGTATACCAAGATATGGGCGTCTAAGCGGTGATGTTTACATTTGTAATCAATGCACAATTGGTGACACTGTTCAAACAGTCGGTGGGATGCCTGTTGTACTTGCCCTTGTTGAAGCTGCTGAAAGTAGGGATATGCTGCATATGGCGCTGGAGCTGCTTGCACTATCTCTTCAGCAGAGTCATCAAAATGTAAAAAACATGCAGGCCTTGAGGGGTTATCATCTTCTTGCGCTTTTTCTTCATCGGAGAATGTCACTATTTGATATGCAATCTCTTGACATTTTCTTTCGTATTGCTGCCTGTGAGGCTTCCTTTCCTGAGCCACAGAAATCAAAGATAAATCGAACAGCAAGCTATGCATCTGGAATGTCCCCAGAGGCTAGCCTTGATGATCTTACCTTACCCAAGTTTGGCGATGATATGTCTTCTGGGGGATCACATGGGGATCTAGATGACTTTTCAGCTCAAAAGGATTCATTTAGCCACTTGTCTGAGCTGGAGAATGCTGACCTAGCTGGTGAGACTTCTGAATTTATAGTCTTGTCAAATGCTGATATGGTTGAACACATTCTTTTGGACTGGACTATATGGGTTGCTGCTCCTATATCAGTGCAAATAACTCTTCTTGGGTTTCTTGAGAGGATGGTGTCCATGCATTGGTTCAGAAATCACAACCTTACAATACTGCGCCGAATTAATCTTGTTCAACATCTTCTTGTTACTTTACAACGTGGTGATGTTGAAATTCCCGTGCTGGAGAAGCTAGTTGTGCTTCTAGGTGTCATCCTGGAGGATGGTTTTCTAGCTTCTGAGCTGGAGCTTGTTGTAAGATTCATAATCATGACATTTGATCCTCCAGAGCTTACACCGAACCGCCAGATTGTGCGGGAGGCTATGGGAAAGCATGTTATTGTGAGGAACATGTTATTGGAAATGCTTATTGATCTACAAGTAACCATAAATGCTGAAGAATTGCTGGAGCAATGGCATAAAGTTGTTTCATCCAGATTAGTCACATATTTCCTTGATGAAGCGGTACATCCAACTAGTATGAGATGGATCACGACTCTTTTAGGAGTTTGCCTTACGTCATCAACTACATTTGCATTGAAGTTCCGTACAAATGGAGGTTTTCAAGGATTGAATCATGTGCTTCCAAGCTTTCACGATTCTCCAGAAATATACTATATATTGTTCTGTTTGGTGTTTGGGAAGCCTGTTTATCCTCGAGTGCCAGAGGTCCGCATGCTTGATTTCCATGCTCTCATGCCCAGCGATGGAAACTATGGAGAATTGAAGTTTGTGGATCTATTGGATACTATAATTGCAATGGCAAAAGCTACATTTGATTCCTTGATTATGAAATCTATGCTTGCACATGAGAATAACAATCTTTCACATCTTAATGGCACCTTGGTCATGGATCTTGTTGAGGCGACATCGCACATGGGGGAGGTGATCTTCAAGGAGAAGCTCTGATGCATAAGACATATGCAGCAAGGTTAATGGGTGGTGAAGCAGCAGCACCTGCTGTTGCTACTTCAATGTTGAGGTTCATGGTTGATCTGGCAAAGATGTGCCCACCATTCTCTGCTGTTTGCAGGCGGCATGATTTCCTAGAGAGCTGTGTTGATCTCTATTTCTCTTGTGTGAGGTTTGTACAATGTATCAATGTGCATATATCATGTTACTTGGTGCTTTAAATGTTTATATTAAACCTTGTTTTGGTTATGTAGGTCTGATTGTGCCCTGAGGATGGCAAAAGATCTTACAACTGCTGCAACTGATGAGAGGAATGTACATGATGATGATAATGGAAGTTCAAAGGATGCCTTTTCAAGTTTACCACATGATCAGGAGCAATCTACCAAAACGTTGAGTGTCACAAGTTTTCCTCAGGAGCAGAAAAGTTCCAGTTCAGAAAGTACTGGCATGCCAAACTCTTTTGAAACTGCTGAAGCCAAAGCAGATGATTTTTCAATCAGGAGCTCAGCACTAAGATTTTAAATGGAGAAGCAAACCAAATGTTTAATAATGCTCATGATCAAGGGCAGATCACAGCTTCCAGTGCAAATGGCATTGCTGAATCCCACCATGCAACTGATTCACCCAACTCGGTTGCTATGAATAATGTTGATCTCCTGTTTTATCCGAGAGGTCAACCCACAGAGCAGCTAGTACCCCTACCGCATCTCCAATGGCCCCATTCACATCTTGGCCTGGCAGTGCAGGATCGTATAGTGATGGTAGACACTTGACAGCTTCTCCATCCATGGCTTCATCTATATCTGGGATAGACCTGGACTCGTCCCCTGATCTGAGGACAAATATTCAGGGATCATCTGCTGTGAATACCCTTTTCCCAATCAATTCCAAGCTTTTGCTTGACATAGATGATTTAGGTTATGGGGTGGCCCATGCTCTGCAGGAGCTACAGCTGTTCTAGATTTTGTTGCTCAAATCCTTGCTGACACTATCTCAGATCAGCTTAAAGCAGCACTCTTTGTTGAGAACATTTTTGGAGTCCGTGCCTTTGTTTGTTGATATTGACTCTGCTCTGGTTTTTCAAGGCTTGTGCCTAAGCAGATTGATGAACTTCCTTGAAAGAAAGCTCTTGCTTGACGATGAAGAAGATGGGAAGAAACTTGACAAGAGCCGATGGTCTGTCAATTTGGACCCACTTTGCTGGATGATTGTTGATCGTGTGTACATGGGCTGCTTTCCAACCCCACTCAGGGTACTACAAACACTAGAATTCTTAATGTCCATGTTACAGCTTGCTAATAAAGATGGCCGTGTTGAAGATGCTGTGCCTCCAGGTAAAGGTATCTTGTCCATTGCTCGAGGAAGCAAGCAACTTGATCCTTACATCCACGCAATATTGAAGAACACAAACCGAATGATAATGTACTGCTTCCTCCCAACATTCCTTAAAAGTATGGGGGAAGATGATCTACTTGCAAATCTTGCATTCCTGACGGAAACTGGGAGGAGTTTAGCTTCTAAACCTTATCAGGAAGATTATTCTATTGATATTTGTACAGTTCTCCAGCTACTAATTGCCAACAAGAGATTGGTGCTCTGCCCAAGCAATGTTGATACAGATCTAATATGTTGTTTCTGCATAAATTTAATGGCACTTCTCCATGACAAGAGAGTAACTGCTCAAAACTTGGTGGTTGATTTACTTAAATACTTGGTAGTGCATCGTCGCCAATCTCTTGAGGACCTGCTAGTTTGCAAGCCTAATCAAGGACAGCAACTGGACATCCTGCATGGAGGACTTGATAAATTGCTCACTGGAAGTACATCAATGTTTTTTGAATGGCTCCAAAGTTCCCAGCAAACAATAAGTAAAGTGCTGGACCAGTGTGCTCTAATAATGTGGGTTCAATATATTACCGCTCAGCAAAATTTCCTGGCGTGAGAATAAAAGGAATGGAGGTCAGGCGCAAAGAAAGAGATGGGACGGAAATTTCGCGAATCTGCAAAACTAGATGCCAGGCACTGGGAGCAGATAAATGAGCGGAGGTATAATCTTGATTTGGTTCGTGATGTGATGTCTACAGAGCTAAGAGCAATTCGTCAAGACAAATACGGATGGATACTGCACGGAGAAAGTGAGTGGCAAAGCCAGCTCCAAGAACTTGTTCATGAGAGAGGTATTTTTCCCATGCGGCAATCATCCACAGAACCTGAGTGGCAGCTGTGTGCTGTTGAAGGACCATATAGAATGAGGAAGAAACTTGAGCACTCCAAATTTAAGATAGATACTATTCAGAATGTTCTAACCAGCAACCTTGGATCAAATGGTGCTAAGATGATCAATAAAGAGGATGGAGAATTGTTGATGACATCTGGGTCAGATACAATGTCAGGCTTGAATCTTTTGACCTATGACACTGAGCAGAAGGATCTTGATGCTGTTGAGTTTTCGTCATTCAAAGATGAAGATGACATATTCAAAGGAGGAAGCACAATTTCAGCTCCAATTGGATGGACTGATGATAAAAGCAGCATTAATGAACAAAGCCTTCATTCTGCGACGGAATTTGGAGCAAAATCAAGTTCCCATTCTTTTCACATGACTGAGAGTCACCAGGGTAAATCTGAACTTAGTTCACCAAGGAGGGCACCTTCAGTCAAAGGTACTGATGCAAGAACCTCAGAGGATAAATCAGAAAAGGAATTGCTTGACAATGGTGAGTATCTTATCAGGCCTTATCTGGAGCCCTATGAGAAAATAAGGCATAAATACAACTGTGAACGGGTTGCTGATCTTGATAAGCACGATGGAATATTTCTAATTGGAGAACTTTGCTTATACATTATCGAGAACTTCTACATTGATGATTCCAATTGCATTTGTGAAAAGGGCAGTGAAGATGAGCTCTCTGTCATCGATCAAGCTTTAGGTGTGAACAAGGATATAATGGGAAGCAGTGAATCTCAGTTGAAATCACCTTCCACTTGGGGTGGGACAGCAAAGGTCTTGCTTGGTGGCAGAGCATGGGCATATAACGGAGGTGCTTGGGGAAAGGAGAAGCTTTGCAGCAGCAGCAACCTGCCTCATCCATGGCATATGTGGAAGCTTGATAGTGTTCATGAGTTGCTGAAACGTGATTACCAGCTCCGCCCTGTTGTTGCAATTGAAATTTTCAGCATGGATGGTTGCAATGAGCTTCTAGTTTTCCACAAAAAGGAGAGAGAGGAAGTTTTCAAAATCTGATCGCCATGAATCTCCCATGAATAGCATGTATGGATTCTTAATCCTTTGCAACTCTAGATGCCTAGTAGTTACCATGTGCATGCGTAGCATTAAGACTTGATATGACTTCTTACTAGAATTAAAATGAATTCAAAACACTTAATTACCTGTCTATATAATTATCGTGTCATGAAAGGTACTCCTCCATTCCAAATGATAAGACGTTTTTGCCTTTTCTAGATACATTTCTTTTACTATGTATCTAGACATAGTGTAAATCTAAGTGCATAGCAAAATCTATGTAGCTAGAAAAGGCAAAACGTCTTATAATTTGGAATGGAGAGAGTAATATGTACCAATTCATGACTTTGTGCTTCAGAGGAATTAACATTCAGTATTTCATTCTGAGGGAGTTACTTTTTTGTCAGCAGATTGCATGTTAAACATGCGACTGTCAATTTTTTATTGTCATAAGTTCTGGTATTTAGGATCTATAGTTTCGAAACCACAAGTATACTGTCCTAATTCCCAGAGGTTCATGTCTCACACCTTTTTTTTTCTTTGCCCGGTAGTTTTTTTTTTTACTAGAATTGTCAAGCTTGATATTGCTGGGACGAGCTGTCTATTTTCACGAGAAACTAAGATATCGATTATGCCTTTTTACTAGTGCTATATTGTTACGTTTGCTATCTATTCTTCCTTTTGCCTCGTTCAGTTAATAGTTTAGGATGTTTTCTTTATCTTGTGCATTCTATGAACTATACCACATAAGCTAAAAGGCAAGTTTTATAGGACGGCGATTAGACCTGCTATGTTTGTATGGTGCGAATGTTGGCCTCTAAAAGACGACATATGTTCAACAGATAAGTGTCATGGAAATGCGTATGTTGCGTTGGATTTGCGGTCATACAAGAAGGGATCGAGTTCAGAACGATGATATACGTGATAGGTTAGGGGTAGCAGCAATTGAAGAAAAGCTTGCCCAACACCGGTTGAGATGGTTTGAACATGTCCAATGGAGACCTCCAGAGGCACCGGTGCGTAGTGGAATCCTAAGCCAGGATAGTAACGTGAAGAGAGGCAGAGGAAGACCGAAGTTGACTTGGGTAGAGGCAATAAATGGAGACTTGAAAGGATGGAATATACCCAAAGACTTAGCCTTAGATAGGAGTGCTTGGAAAACAGCTATTCACGTGCCTGAACCTTGATTGCTTCTGCTGGGTTTCAACTCTAGCCTACCCCAATTTGTTTGGGACTTAAATGCTTTGTTGTTGTTGTTGTGCATTCTATGAACTATTTGAACTTGTAGGACCTGGCATTTTCTTGCTATTACGTATCATTAGATTTGGCATAGGAGCTTTGTGCCTTTGTTAACAATTGAAGAAAATATGCCTTTCCACAGGTTGGACACAACCATATCAGCATCCTCTAAACAGGAGAGTGGTGAGGGGAGCCGTCTTTTTAAAGGCATGGCAAAATCATTTTCTAAAAGATGGCAAAGTGGAGAAATTACGAACTTCCAATATCTCATGCATCTAAATACACTTGCGGTCGAGGGTACAGTGATCTCACACAGTACCCAGTATTTCCATGGGTTCTCGCAGATTATGAGAGTGATGCTTTAGATCTGAGGAATCCACAGACATTTCGCAGGCTTGATAAACCCATGGGATGCCAAACGGAGGAAGGAGAAGAGGAATTCATAAGAGGTTGGTTCATTTAGCATCCATTTGTATGCTTTTGTTTCTCTTTCAACTTTCAACTAGAAAAACTAACATCTTTAGTTTTGCTAAACGCTAGGGTCCACATAACTGAGTTGGAATTCTTTGTTTTGTTCCTTTCAGATACAATAGCTGGGATGACCCTGATGTACCAAAGTTCCATTATGGCTCTCATTATTCAAGTGCTGGAATTGTCCTTTTCTATCTCTTAAGGTTGCCTCCTTTTAGCACAGAAAATCAGAAATTGCAGGGTGGACAATTTGACCATGCAGACCGTTTATTCAACAGTGTGAGGGATACATGGGCAAGCGCTGCGGGCAAAAGTAACACATCAGATGTGAAAGAACTAATTCCTGAGTTCTATTATTTGCCTGAATTTTTGGAGAACCGTTTTAATCTGGACCTGGGCGAGAAACAATCAGGAGAGAAGGTATACTTTTAAATTGCGTGCAAATCTTTGCACTAGTCTAGAAAGTCTTCAGTTGGGGGCAAACACATAACTTCTTTAAATGATGCTTTCAGGTTGGTGATGTTGTTTTGCCACCTTGGGCTAAAGGCAGTGCAAGAGAATTCATTAGGAAGCATCGGGAAGCACTGGAATCAGATTACGTATCTGAGAATCTGCATCATTGGATTGATATTATTTTTGGATATAAGCAGAGAGGAAAGGTATTAAGCATTTCTCCATCTCTACATTTGCATTTTATCCCTAGCAGTGTTGCTGTAATGTGTAATCATCATAGCACAAATATGTTTCGGTTTGAAATAAGGATAGTGTCTTCTTTTTACTCTTGAACATACAGGATTTCTGAGCACAAAGTGAGCTATTAATTTGCCTTTTTATTAAAGTGTCTTCTAGTCTTCTACTGATTCATTATTTTGTGCCATCTGACTAGTTATTAAATAATGCATAGTTTTGCTTTCATCCTAGGGATAGCAGGATTATGTGTTAATGAACCAATCTGCTTCTTATTATGTTCTCCATTTTACTTCACAACTCAGATGTAATCTTGACCAACAATTTCTATATATTATGCTGGGAATATTTTTTTAGCTTTTGTGAGCTCCCTAAGTTCCAAATTATAAGTCACTTTGACTTTTTTGGTACATAGATTTTGCTATGTATCACATACGTTATATCTAGATACATAGCAAAATTGATGTACCAAAAAAGTCAAGTGACTAATACTTTTGAACGGAGGGAGTACTTCATTTGGTAGTATCTCTCATTTATTAACGTGATTTCTGATATTTATTTTCTTTTATTATTTATTATATATGGTAGGCAGCTGAAGATGCCGTCAATGTTTTCTATCACTACACATACGAAGGCAATGTTGACATAGACGCAGTATCAGATCCTACCATGAAGGCTTCAATACTAGCACAAATCAACCATTTTGGTCAGACCCCAAAACAGTTATTCCAGAAACCACATCCACAGAGGCGGACTGACAGGAAAGTCCCTCCTCATCCTCTACGGTACAGCCCCTATCTAACACAGCAGGAGATTCGCAAGACTGCATCTTCGGTGTCCCAGATTGTCTCCTACAATGATAAAATCCTAATTGCTGCAGTTAACTGCTTGCTCAAGCCGCTAACTTACAATGAATACATTTCCTGGGGATTCCCTGACCGAAGCTTGAGAATATTAACATATGATCAGGATAGACTTTTGTCTACACATGAAAACCTTCATGGTGGTAGTCAAATTCAGTGCACTGGAGTGAGCCATGATGGCAACATTCTCACCACTGGTGGTGATGATGGAGTTGTTGCAGTGTGGAGATTTGTGAAGGATGGCATCCGCCGTCTCCTGAGAATGGAGAAGGCTTTGTGTGCTCACACGGGCAAGATAACTTGCGTCTCTGTCAGCCAACCTTACTCACTAATTGTCTCGGGCTCTGATGACTGTTCTGTTATCCTGTGGGACCTGACAAGACTAGTCTTTGTGAAGCAGCTACCAAGGTTCCCAGCCTCAGTATCTGCGCTACATGTGAACAACCTCACTGGTGAGATTCTGACTGGTGCTGGTGTTCTTTTTGCTGTTTGGAGCATCAATGGGGACTGCCTTGCTGTGGTGAACACCTCCCAGCTTCCTTCTGACCTCATCTTGTCTGTGACAAGCACGATACACTCAGACTGGCAGGACACAAACTGGTACGTGACAGGTCATCAAAGCGGTGCAGTAAAGGTATGGAAGATGGTGCACTGCTCGTCTGATGAAGCAGTAAATAACAAGAGCAAATCGCCTGCGGTATCTTCTGGTGGGCTTAGCCTGAACGGCCAAACACCAGAGTATAGGCTACTTCTGCAGAAGGTGCTCAAGTCACATAAACACCCTGTCACTGCGCTTTGTATACCACCGGACTTGAAGCAGCTTCTAAGTGGGGATGCCAGCGGTCACTTGCTCTCATGGTCATTGAAAGACGACAGTTTCAAGGGTTCATAGCACAGAGGAATATAGGGATTCAGCTGCACATATAGAGAACACTGATTAAATTATACCACTGATTTCTTCCTCGTCCAGAACTGAGCATTGGCGTGCATTGACAAGAGCTCAGATCAGCAAGCTTCTACATGGTATATGAAATGTTCCCTGGATGCCCCATGCCTGGGCCATACAGCAGTCCGGGCAGGAGAAAGAATACAACAGACACATTGAAAGGATGAAGTGGACGAGGCGATCGAGGTGTCGCTGCGCTGACATCATAATCTTATACTGTGAATTATCAGATGGTTGTACCTTCTCTTCTTGTTTTTTTGAGGAGAAAAGGAATCATGTGGGCTGTAGGTGCCAGTGTTTGTAAAGTCTGTACAGGGTAATTTTGGTGGTGCCGGTTGAGGTGGACGATGATGATGCACTGTCTCGATGTTTTGTTTGGGGTTGCGGAAGTAAGGAAAGAGGTGTTAGGTTCATTTTCTCTCCTCCCCCCCTAGAAGTGTTGTTCATTCTTTGACTGGGTGTGATTTGAGCACCCTTGTGTTCAGTAAGTCAATTTGCACATACATGCAAGAGTTTTGCTGAACAAAGCGACGAGCCCCCTTCCATAGTTCCATGGTTCGATTGGAAGTCTTATTTGAAGTGAAGTGTCTGGAACTTGGGGAAGGTTTAATGTGTGTACATCCAGCCACCATTTCGCACATTCGTGATGCAACACTAATTAAGTGTAGCCGCGCTCCTTTTTTTCATCACAGATTAACAAGCGGGTAAGATACATTCCCAATCGTTTCGTCGCTTTTGAGGACCGACACCTCGGATCTGACTGGCTGCGCCGGCAGTCGTATCCTCTCGATATTGTCTCTAGGATTCTCCATTGGCTGGTAACTGGTAAATTTATCTAGAATTTGCCTATGATCCCATGATAATTTTGTAGCCATCTACTCTCTTCATGTTAGATTTTAAGTCGCCTTGATTTTTTTTTGGTAAATAGATTTTGTTACTTATCTAGAAATAATTTAGAACTTGGAACGGATGGGGTACAAGACTTGCGAGGCACAAAATCGCAGATGTCTCAACTCTGTTCTTGGCACAAAGTCGCAGATGTCTCAGCTCTGTTCTTCGCTCTTCGCACCAAAACAGGTGGAGATGGAGGTCCCAATCGCACTGCCACAGTGTTTTTCAGCTGGACAGGTGGCAAAGGCTAGAAGGCACGAGGCGCAATGGCCAGCTGTTGAAAGCATCGCTTCAACCGACAACCGGGTCCGGCTTCACGTTTTGGCCTAACTATAGCATGTGGTCAGTACGAGTAGTACTTCTCTCAGCATCTGCTTATTAAAACTTGCACAGCTGGTTATGCATTGTCTAGTTTTTGGTGTACATGATAATACGCGAGTCCTACCCTTCTTACACGTCAGCGTGCGGTGGAATGTAAGACGCAAACTGGATAAGACTATATGCTATATCTTATCCAGATTCCTCAAGACCGAACTCGCCCGAATCTCCTGTGATATTTTCTGACTTTTTGTGGCTTATTATGAATCATGTGAAAAAGTGAACAATCATCGTAAGTCATGGCTGAAAGTACTGTTGGCTGTGGCTGAAAGTGTTGTTGATTAATTTATGATAAGAGAAAAATACTATTCGTTGACTGAAAAAGTACGACTTATAAGCCAAACGAACAGGCCGTATACAGCTACTTTCTGAAACAGAATAAAACGGCAGTTGTATCCGCTGGATGCTACCACTAGATTCATCAAACCTCGACCGGTCCGTGATCTAATGCGCAATTAGTAATTTCGTAACCCGAGGGATGCAAGTTCAGTACTACACACCTCTAGTATTTCTAAGCTCTCACTGTGCATAATTTATTTATTCAAAAAGCTTGAAAACCACTAGACCCGTTACAAACATGGTCAAATTCTCTTAGATCGCATGATTCTCATACAAAATTGTAGCAAAATTTATCCAAAATCACTTTTCCAAACAAATGTTGATTAGCATCTACATGCAGTAGTACTAAGGACAGCGCCAGCATGATGATTAGGAGACAGAATCAATTAGGGAAAGCATCAATCCAGTGGTCGGCGTCTCGATTTGAAAACTCGATGACAATTCTTCCACGATAGATCTGGAATTCTGGACTCGAACATTGAATAATAATAGTGGCCATTTTACCTTTTTCCACGTCAGCATGTGGTGGATAAGCAAGAAACTTACCAAACTACCCCTAGAATACAAGTTGTCTTGCATCAAAATATTCCATGATATTTTGATAAAAAAATATTCCATGTGATACATATACGCCTCTACTCTCTGTATCCTATAATATAGTGTATTCTAGAAATTTTTAGGACGGAAGAAGTAGTTCACAGTATCCGGATCAAATCTCTGTTGACGGGTCATAAACCGTATTGCCTTTTACTATGATGCAGCTTATCCAAATTCCTCCGTAACCTCCCCGGAAATAAATAATCGCAAATATGGCTTTGTCTACCAACCGACCAAAGGGTAAAGCGGGAAACGAAAAAGCCTATATATGTTGACTTGTGTGGGTTTTGTGGCATTCAGAGCGTTTCCTTTGCCGTAGCAAACAGACAAGAGAGAGTGGGGGAGACTAGCGGAAGAGGACAGCGCACGGAAAGCGAGGGGAGGAGAGACAGAGAGGTCGCATCGGACGGCGGCGAGATGCTGGCGGTGTTCGATCCCACGGTGGCCAAGTGCCCGGAGGGCCTCCGCAGCCCGCCGGTCGCCGGAGCGGCCGCTGCAGCAGGCGGAGCCGGCGCGGGCGCGCTGATGAAGGGCTTCTCCGACTCGCACGACGGCGCCGTCACCGTCAGCCTGGGCCCCTCCGGTGCGCTGGCCTACTCGGCGGCCAACCAGAGCCCCCTCGTCCCAAGGTGCTGTTGTGCTCCCCGGCCCGTGCTCGCTCGCTTGCCGAATACGTGCTTGTGTGATGTGACGCCTCTGCGTGATGCGAAAATGGTTCGTGTTTGTGTGCTTGGGCTGAGATTCGGTTATGTGATCGCTGATAGGATCTGTAGGATCAAATAGGCATAGATCTAGCAGGTACAACCTCTTCTACTTGTGATAAAAGATGTAGTTCATCCTAGTACATGAAAACTAGAGAAACAGAGAGGAGAGGGTGAGACGTCACCGACCATCAGAGGATTTGAAGGAGGAGCTGGAGCCGTCCATGGTCGGTGCAGTGAGGACAGTGGCGTCCGGGGCGGTGAAGTGGTCCAGTGGCGGTGTCGCGTCCCGGCGGTGAAGACGGTGACGCAGTCCGGTGGCGGCGCACCCTCTAGATCGGATTAGGGTACGTTGGTGGGCCGACTTTTGGCTGCTCACGGTGAACCTCGTGAAAAGAGCCGCCGGCCCCCACCTCTGTTTTTATAGCGCAGTGTGACGGAGCCCACCAACCATGTAGGGTTGGGCGCCCCCGATCAGGGCGCGGATCCAAGGGTCCAATTGACCATTGAGATCATCTAACAATCGCTTCCTGGAGGTTGGATTGGAACGGGGTGAAACTTTTTGAGGTTCCCGATGTGTGGTCTTATTTTTCTTTAGATTCTTGAGGCTAGCGAACGATGTGGGCTTCGATCAGGGCTGCAGATGCTTCCCATGCCGATTCGAGGAGAGATTTCTTCCGTTTTTTATGTACAGATTTTGTTTTCGTGATGGTCTTGTCTTGTGGGTATAAACTTGGGGCGCTTCTGTGGCGTAGTTGGTCATGCTCTTCTAGTTGTCTAGATCTTCTCCATAAGTTGGTAGAGTCTGCACCACGATGTTTTTCCAGGCCAAATCAACACGTTTGTGATGAACGTGGTGCGTTGTACGATTTTGAACATTGGGGTTGTTATATGTATTGTTGGTTCATGACTATAAACTCCATTGGGGTTGTTATATGTATTGTTGGTTCATGACTACTGTGAGTTGAGTTTGTGGATTCATGAATGCATTGATTCACACACATCTACACCTCTACACGCTGCACCTGATTTAGTGTCCTCCATTTTTAAGTCTGCTTGTATTTACAGTAGTGCTGTTTATCAGGTAATATTGACTGCTAGATTGGATTGTTTTCAAGTAATACCTGGAATCACTTTACTTAAGGGATGCTATTGGTTCTAAAATGAAATTTGACAATCCATCTTACAGCAATTAGGGAAGGAAGAAAGAGCATTCCTAGTTCTCAGTACATTTACAGTTGATGTTTTTTCACCTTATCCTGAGCCATCTAGTCCTATATATCTATGAACTCTAGTTTCAAGTCCAATCATCTTAACAGGCATATATGATTGTTATCCAATATAAAGAGACTTCCAATTATTGTGTGGAGTTGGGTACGGGTATGGGTATGATAACTTTGGTTGAACCTTCTGTATTGCTACTCTCTTTTGCACGCTCTCTATGTTACATATGTTATTTGAATATCTGTCACTGGTACTGTAAATATTTCACAAGAGAATGATGGGCTAGGATGGCCAATAGCATGGCCATGTCTTGTTGACACAACTGAATTACATGTCAATTTGACACTTGTAAGCATTTGTTCCTTGTCAACCCAAACAGGGATGATGGTGACAGGTGATGTTTATTATTAGGTAGTAACACGTAGTTCCAACAATTGAAAATGGTTGTGGACCTGTTGGAAGTTGAGTCCCTTTAAACAAAATGAAAGTGCATTGTACGTTAACCTATTATTAGCCTGCTCAGTTTTGCGCAATACAAAACAGAATTAGCATTGATGGCATCCAAATACGAAAACAGCATGATAGTAAGTCTGCTTTATTTGAAGCATCATGCTATTTGTGCTGAGAAAGTCAATCTCTGGAAGGAAATCTCTCAGACTCGTTTTAGGCTTGCAGGATTTGGTCAACTGCATTGCATGGAATTTCTTTCAAACAAGATCATTTTGACACGAAAAAAGATGCATCGCAACACATACACACTTATCTCGAATCTTGATTGATCCTGGGAGTTCTTTTGTTATTTGGTATTTGGTATATCCCTACAGTTGACCGAATTACATTTAGCTGATTCTGCGCCTTGTTCTCCTGTCCAGGTTGTTTGGTGCTGTGAATGACATCTTCTGCCTGTTCCAAGGGCACATTGAGAACATTGCCAACCTGAAGCAGCATTATGGCTTGAGCAAGACTGCGAATGAGGTGACTATCCTCATAGAGGCCTACAGGACCCTGAGGGACAGGGGTCCTGTCCCAGCCAGCCAGGTTGTGAGAGACCTCGGTGGGAAGTTCGCGTTCATCCTGTATGACACCCTGTCGAAGTCCACCTTTGTCGCTGCTGTAAGTTCACCTATTGTAATTCAGCCATCACTTCTTTCCTCAACCGTACCTCGTTGAACGTGGCTTGAGCCTTGTTGCAATGCCAATGTTTAAATGCAGGATGCTGATGGCAGCATCCCTTTCTTCTGGGGTGTCGACTCCGAGAACCACCTTGTGTTTTCTGACGATGCTGGGCTCCTCAAGACAGGCTGCGGCAACTCGTATGCGCCATTCCCCAAAGGTAACTACAACAACAGAACACCATTTCTTTTCCAGTCATCCTTTATGCACAATCATCTATGTAGTACTTGCCATTTTTTTTTCGCGAACATGCCTTTCATTCTACTTACTATACATGTCCACCCCTCAGGTTGCTTCTACACCACCTCCGGTGGGCTGCAGAGCTTCGAGCACCCGCTGCACGAGGTCAAGGCGGTGCCACGCGTGGACAGCCAAGGCCAGATGTGCGGCTCCACCTTCAAGGTCGACAGCGAGAGCAAGAAGAAGCAGGACGCTAGCATCCCCCGCGTGGGCAGTGCCGCCGACTGGTCCAACCAGTTCTGATCGTCCGGCTTTGTCCACCATCTTCTTGGTACCCATTAGCCATTACCCCGGCTGCTACGAGGTGCCGAGCTGTGTATCTGATGAATCCTTGAGACGATTTCTGCTACGTTTCTTGCACACTTGTCGAACGCCGTGAGATTCTCACGTCGCGTTGTCTATGCTATCGTGTAACTGATATACTAATCATACGGAGTATTCCAGGTGGTGGTAGATGTACTGCAGAATCTATCTCCCGTGTGTTTCAATAAAGCTGAATAAGAGGCTCGATTTGGTTCTGTGGATTTGTGATGCTAATAAGAGTACTTTTGAGTCGGTTTTTAATTTTTTATTGCATCCTTTTCTTTTTCTTCTCGTTCTCCTGTACTGCATTTCATTACCAGAAAGCATCGCGTTGCCCAAATCTTATTCAGCGCGCGTGCGCCGCGTGAGCTCACGACGCACGGTTCCCTTTTCCAGCAGCTGTGTCCGGTGTCCTTCCATTCCTGTCATTTTTGTCGTGCTCTGTCCTAACTCGGAAACATTGGGCCACGATGGGCCATTAAAAAAAATCAAAACAATGCGCCGTTCCTTTTCCCCCTTCTCCCTGCTCGGCGCATTCGATTCATCTTCTTCGAGGCGATTAGGCGAAGGTGGAAGCTCCGTCGTTGTGGCCCGGCCTCGATTTGGGGTGGCACCCGCTGACCTCCCCCGTCGACATGGAGGCAGAAGCGTCGTCGACGCCGGTGCAGCCCCCGTCGACGTGGAAGTGAAGGTCTGTCGTAGTCAGCGCGGCCTCGATTTAGGGCGAATTCATCAGTGCTGCCTCGATTCGAGGCGGATTCAAGCTGGTTGAGGGCTGAGAAGCGAGGGGCTGAGAAGCGAGGGGCCCCGACGAATCCGCCGCCCGTCGAGATCCGGCGGCTGCAGACAAGACCGGGAGGAAGGATCCAAACCCTACTACGACGCGACTGCCGACCGCGCCGGTGCAGGACGTCGACGTTGTCACCGACGATGGCCTCCGACGACTCTAGCTCCTCCATGTACGCGCCGCCTCGTCCGCCTGCCCTTCCCCGCTCTTCGCCCCTCTGCTTCCGCTGGGCCTGCGTGCGAGCCGTACTGCATCCATTGGTGACCACCGTTGCGCTGCGAGAGGAGGGAGACGATGGGAGGCCACTGGCTTTGGCATCTCGACGTGCCTCGGCGGCGGCGGGAGGAGCCAGGGGTTGTGCGGTTGGGGGCTGGGTCGTATTGCGTTTCTGACCTGCTGCTGCTGCCTCTGCTGGTCTGCTCAGGCTACGGAGTTCAGACTCAGATAGGAAAAAATCCGATGATACTTTCCTTGGTTCTGCTCAGAGTCCCATTTTTTTGATAAATAAATAAATTATATTCAAATCTTATAAAACCAGCCTAAACTTTTACCGGTAAGATGGGAAGACATCTGTCTATGAATATCCTTTAGCCTGTCTAATCTGTGTTTGCTATTGATTTATATTCCAAACTAATATGCTTTAGCCTGTCTATTCATGAAATCTGCTTAGTACTTAGCAGTTTTTAGCCTTGAAATATGCTTTAGTTGTTGACTTTTGATTGTATAGCATAATAACTTTTTTTTTCGCAGCACAGATGTGTGCTTCGTAGATGTGTTCCAAAGAAATTGCTGGTGTATGGATCCAAAAACTCTCACGAGTTTGAAGAGTATCATGGCTTTGGATGGACATACGAGACTGATTGAAAGCATGATTGGAGCAAGCCAATAAAAATACAGAGTTGCAGGCATCTAGTTAGCATTTACAGGAATATAAGCCGTGGATAAAGGTTGGGTGATATTTGTATATCAGGTTATGTTTTGGATAAGACTGTTCTCTAAAATGAATACTGTATAAAATGGTGTGTTTCCTTATGTATTCTTTTTCTTAATGCAGATAGTAGATCCTCATACTGTTAGTGTGAATGGTAAGCTCTACACTGCTAAGCACATACTAGTCGGTGTTGGTGGCTGACCATCGATGCCAGATGTTCCCTGGTATAGAGCATGTTATACATTCATATGCCGCACTAGATTTGCCTTCAAAACCCGAGAAAATTGCAATAGTGGGAGGTGGGTATATTGCTTTGGAGTTTGCTGCCATTTTCAATGGCTTAAAAGTGAGGTCCATGTGTTTATTCAGCAGCAGGAAGTTTTAAGAGGATTTTATGAAGAGGTGAGCATATATTTAGAAGAGCAAAGATAGCGTTGGTAATAGATAAAATGTGTTGCTTCTTTGTTTATTTTTTGTCCTGTTTTGGATGCACAGGTTAGAGATTTCATCGCTGAACAAATGTCTTTAAGGGCATCACATTTCATACAGAATAGACCCCCCAAGCTATAACTAAATCAAATGCTGGTCTGTTATCTCTGAAGACCAATAAAGAAATTTTTGGTGGGTTCTCACATGTAATGTTTGCAACAGGTTGCAGACAAAATACAAAGGTAGTAACACAGAGCACTTGCAGTTCTTGAGATTTTGCACATATTGACTCATATTCTAATTCCTGACATAGTTTCAATCCTTGTAGAACCTTGGATTGGAACAGGTGGGGGTCGAAATGGATAAGAACGGTGCGATATTGGTAGGTTATTACAATAACCGGTGCCAAGTTTATCACATTTTGTTTGTCGCTCTATAATCTTTGGTGCTTTTGCAACAATTTTGTGCTAGGTTGATGAGTATTCTCGTACCTTATTTGATTCCATTTGGGCTGTGGGAGATGTTATCAATAGGGTCAACCTGACACCAGTTGCTCTGATGGAGGGTGGGGCATTTGCGAAAACTATTTTCGGCAATGAACCTACCAAACCAGATTCCATGTATATATATTTATCATATCATATCATCACCAAGAATCTTGAACACCACATATTCATGCTGGTTGTCCTGACGACTCATTTGGCTTACCTATCTAGCTAGAATAGACTGAACTTTCTACTGGAAAACATAATTGATCTCACTATTTTATTGTTTTGGGCATTTCGAGGTGGAAATGTTTTTTTTTTCAACAGTATGGTCAGTCTTGCACGAATGTTGCATTATGTGTCTGTGCACCTCAAGTGCTATAGCTAGGAAAAACTTGGTTAATCCTAAGCCATCTTGTGCAGTGGAGCTTGTTTTTATTCTTACTGAACTTTTGTGGCTGCACCATGCAAGCATTTGTACATCAATTAAATACCATATTATTAGTATCTAATTATAAAGTTTTGGATATTGTAATATAAAGTTAGAAATATGTTACAACAAAGTTCGGAAACTTGAAGTGCAAAGTTTAGAATTACAAAGTTGTGAATCTTAAAGTACAATGTTTCAAATGTCCTAGTACAAAGTTTTAAATTTGCTACTATAAAGTTTCCGAATTTCAAAAGTAAAGTTTTAAATTACAAAGTTTTGAATCTTAAATTATAAAGTTCTAAATGTGATAGTATATAGTTCCTGAATTTAAAATGTAAAGTTTGAAATTACGAAGTTTTAAATGTGCTAGTATAAAATTCTTGAATTTTTAAAAATAAAGATTAAAATTATAAAGTTTTAAATCTTAAAGTACAAACTTTTAAGTGCGCTAGTATAAAGTTTTTGAATTTTAAAAATAAAGTTTGAAATTACAAAGTTTTAAATCTTATAGTATAAAGTTTTAAATGTGCTAGTACAAAGTTTATAATTGACAGTTCAAAGTTTATAAATTTTAAGTGTAAAGTTTTGAATCTAACAGTACAAAGTTTATAATGTGATAGTTCATTTTTTTGAACCTAGCAATGCAATATTTGTAATTTGATAGTTTAAAGTTTATAAATTCTGAGTGTAAAGTTTTGTACTTAGCAGTACTAAGTTTGTAATGTCATAGTTCTAAGTTTATAAATTCTGAGTGTAAAGTTATGAACCTATTACTATAAAGTTTATAACGTGATAGATCAAAGTATTAAATCTAACAGTACAAAGTTTGTAATGTGATAGTTCAAAGTTTATAAATTCTGAGTGTAAAATTTTGAACCTGGCAGTACAATGTTTATAACGTGATAGTTCAAAGTTTTTGAACCTAGCAGTATAAAGTTTGTAATGTCATAGTTCAAAGCTTATAAATTCTGAGTATAAAGTTTTGAACCTAGCAGTACAAAGTTTATAACGTGATAGTTCAAAGTTTTGAACCTAATATTATAAAGTTTGTAATGTCATAGTTTAAATTATAAATTCTATGTGTAAAGTTTTGGACCTAGCAGTACAAAATTATCGATTAAAGTTTTGAACCTAGTAGTATAAAGTTTACAATGTGGCAGATCAAAGTATTGAATCTAACAGTACAAAGTTTGTAATGTGAAAGTTCATAGCTTATAATTTCTCAGTGTAAATTTTTGAACCAATACAGAGTTTATAACGTGATAGTTTAAAGTTTTGAACATAGGAGTACAAAGTTTATAATGTCATAGTTCAAAGTTTATAAATTCAGAGTGTAAAGTTTTGAACCTATTAGTAGAAAGTTTATAATTGATAGTTCAAAGTTTTGAAACTAGCAGTATAAAGTTTGTAATGTGATAGTTCAAAATTTATAAATTTTAGATGTAAAGTTTTGAATCTAGCAGTACAAAGTTTACAATATAACATGTTAAAGTTTTGAACCTAACAATACAAAGTTTATAATGGAAGTCTAGAATCAATTTTACAATTTCGCAGTATTCATACTTTTTTTTACATACACAAACGTAAAAGTTAACATAACTTCATGCATTTTTAATCTGAGTACCTTGTCTTTTTTTTCAGGGTATTAATGGCAACTATTTAGCACTGAAAACAGAAGCCAAGCTTTATATTAGCTATCTTTAAAGATATATATATCTCGATAAATAAGATATACTCTCTTTTTTTAGTTTTTTTGTGCCGGTAACCTTGCATGTCTTTAATGAATCATTTTTTATTTTTATATATCGGTTGAATCATCAGCATGTTCGGCTGATACACTTTCAGCTTGTTTTAGCTTATTCTCTCTCACAGAACACTATTGAATTAGCCAAAATTAGCTGAAACTGGATCAGCCGAACAGGCCCATTAATCCTAGATGAAGTATTATGGAATATACAATTGCATGAATTTTGAAAAGTAGTACTTCTGTATTTATCTGGTTTTCAAACCATCTCCCCGCCCTTTTCATCTCCCACATACCCGCTATCCCGAATGAGAAATAAAAAGCTCGTAGAATTCAAATTGGCCCATCAGCCCAGAATCTAGATAGGAGAAACGTTAATGGCTAATTTTAGAGTGGTAAAAAAAACTAGATATGAGAAGAGAAACATCCATAGCTGAGGTTACGTGGGTGCGCTATTATTCTTTTGAGTGCGCGCGCGTCAGAAACCCTTAGAGCGCACGCGCGCCGACCAATAGTCCCGATCACGTTGGGCTCTGTCTGCCTGGCGGTTACCGTTACCGTGGGGCAGTTGGGCAACTGGGGCACTGGTCATACGACTGTTGGGTCCAGCTCGGTCCGTGACAACCATTGGACAATACTGCATGGACTCTACACATGTTTTGTTTGCATGTGTGCAACTGTGCATGTGCTCAAAGATATCTAACAAACCATAGACACAGTAGAAATTCACCCTAAGTTGCAAACACTCGAGGGCTTGTTTAGTTCCCAAAAAGTACTGCAGTAGCCATCACATCGAATCTTGCGATATGTGCATGGAGCATTAAATGTAGACGAAAAAAAAACTAATTGCACAGTTTAGTTGAAAATTGTGAGACGAACGTTTTGAGCCTAATTAGTCCATGATTGAACACTAATTGCTAAATAAAAACGAAAGTGTTACAGTAGCTAAATTCTCAAAATTCGTGAACTAAACACAGCCCAAGTATTGGGGATAGAAATTCAGTCAGCCGGTGCATGTCACTTGACCCTAGTATAGAAATGCATCATTTTAAGCCGTTTCATTCTTCCTATCTGAACATCTACATGTCTGACATGGATTCTACTTTATTTCCACTGTAACTTTCACATTCGAACTCTAAATCGGACCAACCATCACGCTGTTCGCTTGATCGTTTCTGTAGCTTATAAGCCGGCTGATATTGTTTTGTTGTGAGAGAATAACACTGAATCATGACTGATACAATCAAGTGAATAGGGTGATGTCTATTTTGATCGTTTGGTTGAGAGCTCCATCATGGTGAACTCAAATCTACAGTTTGGCTTCATCCTCTTGGTTCAAGCAGTTCTTTCTCTTCTTTCAGTTTTGTTCTATGCTACTCCCTCTGTTCCAAATTACAAGTCGTTTTGATTTTCTTTTGGAAGTGAGTATTTTGAGTGTTTTTTTTATAGGAGTACCAGGTTCATGCCCATGCGTTGCTACGGGACAACTAAACTTTTATGCTAAAAACAAACGGATTATACGATAAGATAACAATACTGTGAAATTAAATACCGACGTTAAAGTGACATTTAATCAAAAACACAAAATGACAACATGTTCTTCCTTGTTAAAGTATATGAGAATTTTGAGTTAGCTTATGAAGCTCTTGATGCCATCCAACCTGACATGCAACAGTAGAAATTGGCCCATGCTTTGCTACGGGCTCATAAAATTTGGACAAAAAATAATATAATGTAGAACAACAAATAAATGAATATATATCATATGCTTAAAAAATTTGAAGGTAACGTATCATGCAGATTAACATCAAGTTTACGTAATATGTTCCAATGCAGTTGGCCAATACATGTTAGCAAAGCTACATCGTCGAAGAATACCTAGTTTGACTGGTTGCTCACCATGTTTGTGTTATTGGATAGTCATTGGCTGGTGCTTTTTTTTTCAAATGAGAAATATGCAACTTCTCAAAACTCCAATAAATAGCACTTGTAGCTTTGCTCATGAAATGCAAGAGCCTTGTGATCTTGATATGTCCTTGTTCCATGCCAGACCGTAATTGCTTGATCACAGCTCTTGCACCACAGACATCGAACAGAGTTGCTGCCATAGGCCTCCAATCCGATCTTTGTTGGTTAGCCATCACTGCAGAAAATTTAAATTAAAAAACAATAAGATGATGGTAACATTTATTAAATCCAACCTGTAATAAATTAACAAAAATCAACCCAATGTCAGCTTATATGTTACTATCAAGCTGATTGGAAATCTACATCCCTCAGATATCCCTTTTTTGGCTCAAGCATATCACAGGAGTATGTTGTATGCATATATGAAATGCTATAAGTAAGAAATGGACCAATGGAGGCAATATAAAGACTAAAAAATAACTATATGTAAGTGTCTGGGAAAACCATCTTCCCGTTACTCTCCATGCTAATCTTTATAACATATAATAATCATGTCAGCATGTCACAACTAAAAAATAACCAAAAGAGAATGTCCAGATGGTACTAAAACAAAACATAGTTACCTGTTGAATATGTGGTGCCAATTTCTCAAGTGCCTGGGAATATGGCAATATTGCCTAGAATACACATTCAACAGAAAAAAAAAACTCAGGATGCATTTTTTTAGATAATAATGGAACAAAGTTCCAGCAACTAATCTGTAGCTCCAAATAACACAGAAACGGAATAGTTGCTTACTCTAGCTGGATAACCAAGAAATGAAACATTCCACACACTCAACAAACCAAGGAGTACCTGCCCATAAATGATAGAAAAATGTGAGACTGATTTTTCCGAGTATCTAAAATCATTGACTACTGTATGAAACCCACTTACAGGTATATTTTTCTCAAATGAAGATGAGTAGAAGTGGTTGTCGATGCTGGAAGCTCCCTCCAAAAATCTTCAAAAGGTAAAAAGGAAATGTCAAGATAGTACTGGTAATCTACGATCTTACTCTGAAAATGATTTTTTCTGGCTTCCAACATTTTCATTAATACTTCAAATAAGACATAGTTATTAGACTTTGTGGTATTTGATGATTTAATCCAGGCCCTATTTGGGGTTCTTAAATAATCCTAAAAACACCGAAGCAAATTTAAAGAAGATATGATCCACTTGAGGTACAAATTTAAGGACCAACTGTCCAAACCACACCTTTCGGATGGTTTGATTCGAGGGTTTACTTGTTACAAACACAAAAACAAATCCAACACCAGACATTGATTCCAGACCCTACATTAATTCCCACATCCTGAAACAATACTACGCTACGCCAACATATTTAGCATTTTGCCACACGGAATGAGATCCGATCTTCATCTACCATCGTAAAAGGTACAGAAAGAGCATGTTCCTTTGTTTTGAGGAATCGAAGAGCAAGATCTTTTTGAACGCACATTTCCCTAAGTATTCTCGTATTTGCTTGTCACAAATGTCTACTCATCTTATTTTTAACTTGCAGTCGACTCTGATAGACATTGACCATAGAAGTTGTAACCTCAATATTTAAGGGCCTGCGAAACTACAAGAACTACATGTAGTATGTTAGTGTTGGGGCATATTTTTGCTTGTACTTTGCATTGCTTTTGGGTTAAAAATAACTATATGTAGAAAACCAAAAGTGGAGCAATCTTTGGAAAGACAAAAAATTACTCAACGTGTCCCAGACAGTGGGACACATATTGGTGTATCAAAAAGAATCAAGGTTGTAAACTGCTAGAATACTATCAGAGTCTTCACCCGGATATGGCAGCTTGACAGTTGGTGTCTTAGTAGATAATCTGTTAGAACTTGACTTTGAATTTCAAATTTGTTGCTTTGCCTAGCGTTGAGTCAGGTGGTAGCCTTAGGTTACAGATATAGGCATTTATCTCTATTTGAAGATGATTTAAGCACTGCTTTGGATTTCATCATAAATTTGAAGATGATTTAAGTATGTAAAGTTGATTCACTTTTTTAATTCACTTCTTATTTTCTCGATCAAACATTCTCATCACCAATAGGAGCATAGAAACAGTATGGATCTCAATTGCAAATAGCTCACCAGGGCAAAGTATAGTGACCATTTCACCAAATTGGATTATGCAATGTCAAACCTGAAGCACGAAGGGGCCATCAAGGAACTCAGCATGCATGCCCCCAACGCCCTCTGGCAGCACCCTAGCCCCGCAGGAGATCATGTCGACGAAGAGGAATTGCTCGAAGCACCGCCAGGTCTGAGCCTCCGCATTCATGCCCATGCAGATCACAAGCAAGGAAAACAAATGGTGAATGTGGATGCTTCCTTATGCAAGATATAACCTGCAATCACTGAATCATTTCTCAATTGTAATTATCCATGTAGTCAGAAGAGCACTTCTACAAGGTATATAGAGGAGAGAATATCTCAACCACAGCACAGAGAACAACCTGACGGATTTCTGACTCCTTGCTCGGTAGCTTGAGGAAGCATTTGGAGAAGGTGCAATCTAGGAATACAAAGTCAAGTCAGCAAATGTTTTTGTTTCCTTTCTTTGTTATGTACTTCATTGGCAAATTCTGTACGCAGTCTGGTGTAAGCCGACAGTCCCCTGTGTGAAGTATGGTACCAAATTGACCCTCAAACACGAACTTGACTGCCCCTGAAATCACCAAACAGGCCAAGCATAAGCCATCCCTCACTCCTAGAAGCACATAATGAGCGTACTGAGCTCAAATCAAACAGAACACTGGACAAATGTTCTCTACACAAAGAGATATCATCACAATACATTTACATTTTATTAGGTTCCATATCAAATAAATCACAGAGCATTCACGACAAGCTCCTAATTAATTATTTTTGTCTAATTACCACAAGTAAATTCCACTCCCTTATGATTACCAAAGTTATGACACTGACAGAAATGGAATAATTAGAACGGACACATTACCAGGGCAGTGATTTGCGTCGTACGTGGTGACAGAGAAGGCGCCGGTGGCATCATCCACTCCCAAATCCCCAACTACGTCACACCGCGACGCAAGAGCCTTTAGCAAAGACACCAACAGATACGTTTTGGCGGAACTGAACATACAGAGGGAGGGAAAGTGGTTAATTACCTGGGGAAAGTGCCGCAGTGCAGGACTCGAGCCAGTCCGGCCGCAGAAGCAACCCGAGCCACCGAAGGTACTCGTCCACCGGCCGCAACCGCCCGCTCAGCGGGGACGGGTGCGGAGGCGCTGTTGATGCAAGCCTCTTTCAATTTCATCCTGTACAAGTAGAATATTCAGATGTTGAAAACAACTAAAAGACAGCCAGAACAAATCCAGTGGTTTGTATAGGTAATTGTTTTGCACCTTTATGGCCTTAGCATCGCCCCAGGGTGTCTCTTCGTAACCGGTGTGCATAGCATACCAACTGAAGAAAAGCCAAAAAGGACAGGATTAAGGATCAGGTCTGACAATCATCCATCTGTGTACACTATGCTAACATAGCATCATGAAGAGGATGCATGCAAGATTACCTCCTCTGGGTCAAGTAGGGATGTTTCCCAAAGCATTCTAATCATCCCTCGCATTCCACCAAGGACCTGCAGGAACATTATTAAGGAATTTCACATTGCACTTTAATATATGCTCTAGAAAAGCAAAAGAACTATCCATGGGCAATTGATAACAGTATATCGTACCACATCCACAGTTATGTTTCCAAGCTGGACCTTTTTCAAGCTTCTTCAAGCAATTATGTAACATAACAACACAGACTAACATCTGAGAACAGCAAGGCCAGATGAATAGGTGTTCATATGTCACAAAGACAAGTGGTCAGATAAACCAGGTGTGAGGTTGATTCTCTTATACTTATAAATTTGACAACTACAGCTAGGTGCAAAACTGAAGCGTGCAGGCGGAGCTCCGTGCAGGCCAGGATGCACGCGCCGACGCGCGCTCCTTGTCCACCCCACCGGCACCTATTGGCCTGTTGCCGCCTGGCATGCTCGCTCAGCCCCGCCAGCACCTACTCGTCAGGCCATCAGGGCAGGGTCGTTGCTGATTTGTTTAGAGCCTAGGTCGAGAACTAATAGAGAGGCCTTATCATATACTGCTAGATATTGCTTTAGGCATTAGTATTAAGAAGGTAATATTCGATCAATTAAAATAACATCTATAAAATATCTCAAAGTTCATAAAATAGACAAATGTAAGAATATAATACATACTTTCGCACTTACATCATTTTTAGATGCTCATCAGGGTTCGTGGAAGCAACCATATTGCTCTTTAAAAAATATATTAATAGCTTCTTCCCGTGATTCTATCAATGCATCCAGACATCTTTATTCCACAATCCTAAAATTTAAATAGATGCACAATAGTTGAAAAATTAAAGCGTACGTAAGCTATAAATAAATAAATCACCAATATGCATAGACAATGCTTACCTAGAGATTGAAAACATACAAGAACTTAAGTGCAAGATGCCTAAAGCAGCAATCGATGGCCACAATACATGAATTTTGACGAAACTAGAGGGGCCAAGGCCCCTACAGAAAATTTATTATAAAAGAGGGCAAAGTTAAAAGCGATTAATACAAGTTAGAGGGGGAGGCAGAGCCACAATACATGAATCAAGGACGACGGGATAACAAGATTACCCTCGGCTTTCGCTCCCATCCAATGCTCGCATCAGACCCAGAGAAGATCGAGGCGGCACATCCTACACTCGAATCAATGAATCAAGTCAAGAAGGGAAGGGAAAGAAGGAGACGATGCACATGAGGGGATAGAGAAGGGGGTCTCGAGGAGGGGAACCTGGATCTGCCACTCGGGCGCCTAGGTGGCGGGGTGGCGGCGGCGGCCGGTTGCAGGCGCTGGGTCATGGAGTAGCAGTGCTCGAGCGCGGGGAGCGTGCTCCGGAGCTCGGGGATCTCGTCGCAGTTGAAGCCGAAGCCCATGTCAACGCATCCCTTGAGCTCCTCCAGGTCGTCGTCTGTGAGGCTCCTGGACCTCCCCACCGCGTCGTCTCCACCCGCGAGCACGCGGGTTTCGGGTCCCGCCGCCCTGGCCACGCCGCCTCCCACTGCGCCCCGCGCCACACGTCCTCCGCCTCGGGCTCGTCGACCGACTCGACGGCCACGGCCACGGGGCTGCGTCAGGGTGGTGGGTGGCGACGGCGGCCAACCAGCGTAGGTGCCAGGACGCCAAGGTGGCGGCGGCGGGCGTCTGGCCTGTGCGTCGGGGTGGAGGCGGCGGATTTCCGGCGGCCAGGTGGCGGGGCGCCGGGGGACGTCGGGCGGGTGGTGACGACGGCGGGTGTCATGCAGACGGGTGGGCGGCGGCGGCGTGTGGGTGGGGAGCGGGAGTGAGGTTTCCAAGCCGAAGGGACTTCGGGTTTAGAACTGACGGCGTGGGGGGCGAGCGCGGGTGAGGGCACGAGGCGTCGTGGCGAGGGTTGGGGAACTCGCGGGATCGCATTGGAGGAGGTCCCACCTGCCGGCGCCGTTGGATCGTAGGGGTGAACAGACGGATGAACCAAAACAAATATTGCACCAAAAGATGTCCATATTTTGTTCTTGTGAGCTATAGGAGATTTTGAGTGTAAACAGCGTGGAGCCCTACGAGTGGGCTTGGGATGAGAGTTTGGCCCAGCTAGTTTGCTCGGCCCGTATCACTTCCCGAACCGGACCAGCGGTCCAGCGCACACCAGACCGCGGTGCCGAACGTAAACGCGTCCCAAGTCTGAAGACTGCGAAGTGCGAACCCGCCAGGCTCGTCTTCGTGGTTCGTCTTCCCTTTCTCGGGCTCCGCGTCGGCGCGTCCCACCACGCGCTCCTCTCCTTTTTTTTTCTTTTTACAAACAAAAACTTTTTATTCCCACCTCCGTTGTCTTTCTCCCTCCTCGTTCCCCCCTTTCTCTCGCCCGTACGAAACCCTAGGCTCCGCCGCCCAAAACCTCGCCGCCGCGCCGCCATCCGGCGGCGCCCCATGGCCCCGGCCTTCTCCGTCCCTGACGCAGAAGACCTCCCGGCCCGCAGATCCGACGCCTCCGACGTCGCAGGCAACGTCTGGGACCTCGCGACCCTCCCCACGCCCCCCGCCGGCGGCGGCCGCGAGATATACATCTACCGCAACACGTTCAACCTTGTCCCGCGCTCCATCGGCGGCGGAGCCGGCGGCCTCAGGTCGCTCAAGTTCTTCGGCAACGATGTGGAGGTGCTGCCCGCGGATGCCGGGGGCGAGCTGGACGGGCTCGAGAGCCTCCAGGTCAAGGTGTCCGCGCCCAGGGTCTCAGGGGCGCCGCTCCGTCGGATGCAGGCTCTCAAGGAGCTCGAGCTCTCAATGGTGCCGCCCAGGCCGTCCTCGTGCTCCATACTGGCGGAGGTTGCCGGGCTCAAGTGCCTCACGAAGCTCACCATTTGCCACTTCTCAATAAGGTATGTGCAAAACCACAAATTCAATTCCCTGTGCTTGCCCGCCTGCCCCCCCCCCTTTTGCGTTTTCAAGCTTAAATGTGGTTGCTTTATTGTGTTCTCAGCTGTTTTTTCCTACTAATTATTCAATTCAATTGATCAATTCAGTTCAGTAGCATGACGGTAGGGGAAATGGTGTGCGTGACTAAGCTTGGATGGGTAACCATGATTAGTAATGCCTGTTGGTTAGACTGAATTTCTCTGTGCTAGGTAGCTTCTGGTAACCGTGATTTCTTGTAGGTTGACCGAATGTTGTCGTGCATATGTGTTTTTTTTTACTTTGATTCTGTCGTGTTTTTAATTCCATTTGTTTACTGTTCATTTCATCACAGTACAAAATTACTGAATTGTTCATAGCTGCTATTCGTATTTCAAATACACTAGAATGCATGTGCATTATTTATTGTGCTTCATTGCTTCAGTGGTGGTGGTGCACCCATTGGCTTTGTGTTGGAGTTTAATTACGTTGCTTTCTGTAGAATAACCATAACTTTCCTTATTGCTGAACTCACTGTTAGGGTCATCAAATGGCTCCATGGATTGGATCCATCTGTGGGATGTGGACATAGGTTCTCTTAGTTTCTGGAGTGTAAATACTGATGTGCTGATGTTTCAGACCAGTTGGGTACAACTTTTAGCCAGGGTGTGTTTGGTGTTCTTTTTTGGGGGGGTGGGGGCGGGGCAGTCCAGGTGTTTGGTTCAGGGACAGATAGAAATAGAATGGAGCCGTCCCCAGGAGAGACTATTCTCCTCAACTGTCATCACTCAAAAACAGAGGTACCAACCCGTTCCCTGTCGACGCTGTTCTCCTCCGTTACTGCATCCTTCCTTCCTCCTGCTTCGCGCCGTTCTTCCTCCGTGCACGCCATCGGCGGCCCAGCCGTGCGCCACCCCCATGCTCCCCTCCACACGTGCGCACGCACGCACGCCACCACACGTCCCCACCGCTGTGACAACAGCGCAGGGACAGACGCAGCGGGCGAAGCCGCAGTTGTGAGGGAGGGTAGCCTCTGTGGTAGCCACGCCCGCCAGCTGGTGAGGGAGGCAGCTGGGCCAGGCGGAGCTGCCTCACCAAGCAGGGCAGGCAGCGGTGGGCACAGATGCTGATCCGGCCATGGATTTGCTCTGTTCTTTTATATATATATGAATGTGCTCTGTTTTGGGAGAGGAAAGGAGGAAGAAAGGGGAAAATGAGTATCACACGTGGGTTCACCTTGACAGTTGCGAACAGATGCAAAACGGCCATCCACCCTATCCTTTTTCGTCCCTCATACCAAACACAAAACATGGTTGAATCCTTCCCCACAACCAAACATGGAGATGAGATCATCCCATCCCAGAAAACTGGGGTGACACCGTTCTGTCCCACCTCATCCCAAAACAAACGCAACCTTACTAATTGAATGCCAGTGATATGTTTTATGAACACATTGATGTTTTAGGCCATTTAGGCAGCACCTTTACTAAATGAGCACCAGTGCTATGTGATATGAACACAATGGTAGAATTGCTTTTGCTAAACTTTTGATTCTGTGATGCATTATACTTACATGTAGCTTTTCTCATACTTTTTTTTTTGTTGGAACCAAGTTTTGTTAAGGTTTTCCCCTTTTTTCTTTCTATAGTGCCATTTTGTGATATCTTCAGTCAAACTTTGGTCATTTACTCATTTATGAATATTTAGAATGGATACATGAAAAATTTATAGGTAGATTCAATTTGAAATTACTTCCACTGCATTAAAGTTTTAGTAGGTTACAAATCAGTGGACATAGCTGATCTTTGGGGACCGTGATTGTGTCAGATGTGTGCTGCTTTAATGATTGGAGTAGTTAACTGAATTGCCTTGTTGTATGAGCTACTCTTTTGAGTTTTGACTGATTGTTATCCTTGTCACAAACTCACAATGTACAGGTACCTCCCTCCTGAGATTGGTTCCCTCAGGAAGCTCCAAGAGCTTGACCTCTCTTTCAACAAACTGAAGAACTTGCCTAACTGTATAATTGAGTTGAGTGCACTGAAGTTCCTCAAAGTGACCAATAATAAGTTGGTGGATGTACCCTCAGGAATCTCCTCTTTGAGATGTCTTGAAAGCCTTGACTTATCAAACAACAGATTGACTTCTCTTGGTTCGGTTAAACTTATTTCTATGCTTACGCTGCAGTATTTAAACCTTCAGGTATTTTCTCTATCTATTATGCCTCTTCTCATGAGTAAAATTACATGTTTCTTCTTTATTTGCTATATTCGAATTGTTCTAACATCGATTCCACTGTCTATACTAGTGTTTCTGCTATATTTGTTTCATGTGGTTCAATATAACAATATGTATCCATTTAAATGTGTTGAAAATTTAAGGACAGATATGTTAGAGGAGGTATTTAGCCCAAAAATAAAGCATGTGTTGATTTTATGGGGGGCAGGAGGGGTCACGTGTTTTGTGCTAGCGATGTTATATACTTATTACTCAATTGGTGCTATTTATTTTATATCGTGGATGCTGGGTTTATAAATTTATAAATATCATACATTGACATTTTGTTTTCTGTTTCAAGTTTAATAGGCTCTCCCATTCCAATGTAATTCCTTCATGGATATGCTGTGATATGAGGGGAAACGTTGAAAATGCTTTTAAGGGTTGCAAGCTGAAGTACACAGGTGTAGCAGACATGAGTAGTTTAGCAGAATCTAGTACTTCAAGTCGTGCTTGCGACACTGCCCTTTTATGCTTACAACCAGAAGCTTCCCCAAATTTGAAACACCATACCCCACAGAAAATGAAGAAGGGCTGGAGGAGACAGGATTGCCTGCAACAACGAGCTCGCCAGGAGCGTTTGGAGTCGAGCAGGAGCAAGCTCAATGAAAAATACATAGATGAAATGGCTGTGACCATGGCTGAAGATGATTGCCCTTCTAGTTTGCAAGATATGGAAAACAAGCTAGGCATCAGAACAATTGACGAAGAAACCTCAGTACAGGACTCGTTGAAAGAAACGAGTTCTATATCTGAAGATGTATCTTCAATAGTCGATGATGATTTGGATGGGCTTACAAAGGATAGTGGCATGATGGTACAGGATCACTATGACGAGGAGAAACCTGGATTCAATATGAGAGGTTACGATGATGACAATTCTTGTATCAGTGGGGAGCCTGCTTGTTTCAGCAGAGGCAGGATCTGCAGCGTTGAAAATGAACTAGATGATACTGCTTCATCTGCCCATGATGTTGGTGAGATTGCTCGTGACAATCCTTCAGTGACATCCAAGTGTGCTTCAAAATCTAAAAGGCACCCTGATATGGACAGCAATCCTAAACCAAGCAAATGCCCTCGACCAATTGATGAACGCTCGAAACTTTCATATAAATACAGTGTGGAATCATTTTGCAGCATAGATGACCATCTACCAGATGGTTTTTATGACGCAGGCCGAGATATGCCCTTCATGTCATTAGAGGAGTATGAAAGGAGTCTTGGGCTGTATGCACGGGAGGTTATTCTCTTGGACAGGTTAGTGCCCATTCCTATCCATATGGGGCCGTCTACATTCTTTTTCCATGCTGTATGTTCTAATATTCTTTTGTTTTTCTTAGAGAACAAGATGAAGAATTGGATACAATTGCCTCTTCAGCACAATTGCTGCTATCTAGTTTGACAAGGCCAAGCTCTTTTGAAATGGAGGAAGATGCAGGCCATGATTTAATGAGGGGGCATCAGTGCTCGCTTTGTTTGTTTCTGACTGCTTTGGTGGTTGTGACCAAGCGCTTCTCTTGGGAGAACACTGAGAGCTATTGTTAGCTTGAGGAAGGAGCAGCCTTTTGTTTGTACTTGTTCTGCTGGGAACTTAGGCGACAACAATGAAGCTTCTAAGCAGACCAATACTCTTTCTGGGCACTTTGATTTTACTGGTCTGTGTAATAGATCAATACATCTCATCAAGGAAAGAAGAAATTGGTATTGTACCTATAGGTTCACTGCAATTTGGTGTTTGTAGGCACCGAGCTGTCCTAATGAAGGTAGTAACCCTGTTCCTGTACCAGCTTCCGTTCTGTATTTGTATTTTGACATTCTGTATTTGCACTTTGAAGTTTGAACACTGTAACCATATGCTTTGCAGTATTTGTGCGACCGGGCGGACCCTCCAATTCCTTGTGAGCTTGTGAGGGGCCATCTTGACTATACACCTCATGCTTGGAACGTTGTTCCTGTTAGAAAAGGAATGGCTGGGTAAGGATGATTGTTGATGCTTGTTACCCCAACAACATAAAGGAAGAGACAGATCCAGAGTACTTTTGCAGGTGAGCAGCTTGTGATGTTATATTCCTATACTCTTTGTAAGCAGAAATCATTGTAGCTTCCCTTGTGTTCCATTCTTTTTTACCTGTTGTATTTACATGGAGAGCACCTGCAATAAGAACTGCACCATGCTTGCCCCTATCATGGTCAATATTATGTAGCACTGCTTCTAGTATGCTAATATTGTGTCTGGCATAAAGGACCTACAAAATGCCACATCACACATTTCTAAAACTGCTAATTTCCAGTTTTTAGGTTCTGTTTATATCATATTCTGAAAAGAACAGTATTGTAAAACATTGTATTGTATTCACTACCTTTTGTCACATTCTATTTATGAGATGGTCCATGATGCTACCAACAAGTTTCTCCTGTGCAGCTGTTCATCTGCCTGTACAATTTTCATTTAGAAAATTTATAACAGCTAAGAAAATATCGTCACTTTGTGGCAGGGACTGAGCCCATTTTTATATTTTCAATTCTTGATTTAGTTATTGCTGGTAGATACTCTTTTAATCCTTTATTATTTTGTTCACCTGATGGTAGGGGATCTTGTCTGCTGATCTAGTGTTGCATGCACATTAGTCTTGCTGTTTCAGGGAGGCGCTGACACAAGTATTACATGCTACATACAGTTTCTTTCTGAATCCAAGATCATCATCTTATGTTTGATTAGCCAATTATCTCCGTGCTGTTTCAGGTATATACCGCTCAGTCGACTTCAAATTGCACTCGATGATGAGGGTTATACTCGGTGTTCCTTCCCATCTGTCTCATCATGCAAAGAAATTGAAGTTACAGCTTCTAGTTCTGTCTATCACTGTAAAATTGGTGCTGTTGATGCTGCTGCAAAGGTTTTTGTTCTTTTACCTTTTATTCTTTGTGCCTTCTGTGTGGTATTTTTGGGTGTGCTTGACTTTGTTGCAATTGCAGATACGATATCTGGATACTCGCAGTGCCTCAAATGATGAAGTTAAACTTTTTGAATACAAGCTTCTGGGAGAAGTAAGAATGCTGGGTGCATTAAGGAAGCACAGATCCATAGTGGACATATATGGACACCAACTTTCATCTAAATGGGTTCAAGTCGAAGGTGATAAAGAATATAGGATATTGCAGTCTATAATTTTAATGGAATATGTAAATGGAGGTTCTCTTAAGGTAAAAATCATTTATCATGTTTATGACTTTCTCCTGTATTGTTTCAACATTAATTCAGATGTTCATTTTTGGTACCGAACCTGTTAATATCTCGTCAGGGATATTTGACAAAGCTACTGAAGGAGGGCAAGAAGTGTGTCCCCATTGATCTGGCAGTTTACATTGCTCGGGAAGTTGCTTGTGCATTGTTGGAGATGCACAAGAAGCTAGTTATTCACAGGGACATAAAAAGTGAGAATGTTTTGATTGATCTGGATTCCAAGAGGAATGCTGGTGCACCCATTGTCAAACTCTCTGATTTTGACAGATCCGTTCCTTTGCATTCTTTATCCCATACATGCTGTATATCTCACCTTGGTACACACCCACCCAATGTTTGTGTTGGAACACCTTGTTGGATGGCTCCAGAGATTGTTAAGGCCATGCATGAAAAACACCACTATGGGCTGGTAAGAATTTGTTAGATAATTATGGTTTTGTTGTTTATTCACTATATTTGTTGAGTTATTGTGCATGCTTGTTGGTGAGTTTGGTGGTTATTTTGTTCTCAGCAACCTGCATTGTGAAATAATATAAGGTTTCGCTAAGTATATATATACACCAATGTTTTGAATGTGGCTTCTATTTGAAATTATGTTCTGATCTGGGAATCAATCATCTTGCAGTAACAAATTTAGCCCTGATCTTTTGGAGACATATTCGTACTTCAAACATTACTCTGACCTTAAAAAACATTACTCTGACCACTGTAACTATCATGCAACCTGTGTGAATGCATGTCTGTTGGATTCACATTGCAAATCCACTTCAATTTTAGAATTGAGATCCATTTGAACTGAAGAACTGTGTACATTGTACAAAACTATTTAGTTACTACAGATCTACCCTGTCCCAACCAAATCCCAAGAGGAGGTTCGGTTGGCTGATTAGATGTTTCTTGGATGCAGGAAGTAGATATCTGGTCATTTGGATGTTTTCTATTGGAGATGCTTACACTTCGGATGCCTTACCAGGGACTTTCTGACTCAGAAATATATGATCTGATACTGGTAAGACCCTGTCATACCAGAAGCAAATTACTGTTTTTGTAGTTGCTCTAGTGTTTACATATGAATGTATAACCATCTTCCTAATCCCGTCTCTTCAGAGGAAGAAACAGAGGCCAAGGCTAACTCAGGAATTAGAAGCATTCTGGACATTGGATGAGCCAGCTACAAGGCTAAATTTAGGGATCACATCTGATGCTCATGCAGATAAACTGAGACATCTGATAGATCTCTTCTACCAGTGTACCAGAGGACATGCATCCAAGCGGCCCAAGGCTGAGCAAATTTACAACTCACTGTGCTCCTTGCCCACATGGTACGACATGAGGTGAACATTTGGATACTGAATGAACGAGAAACTTGGTGGTGAAGTCGTGACCGACATTGGTAAAGCGCAGGGGAAGGCCAAGGCAGGTGGTTTCTGCAGGCATGACATCTGGCCGGCCTCAGAGGTTTGATGCTCTAACCCGACCTTTTCACAGCTCTCAGCAAGTTGGTCTTCAGGTGCAGCCAGGCAGAACATGAGAAGTGGGACCAAGGCTAGCGGCTTTGGTCGCCAGAGCTCCTCCCGAGTCAGTCAGTTTTGTAGCGGCACGGCATCTGGGTCCTTCCACTTGTAGTAGTTGTCATCTGATCATGTATGTGTAACCCCATCCCCCTTTTCCCCTTTGCATTGTTGCCATCATCACTTGATGGGGATTTAAGTTATCAACTTAGGTCATTGGTGCCCCAAGGCATTTGTCTGCTAGACCGCTGCATTCGCTTCTGTACGTGTATTGTATTATTTATTTGGGCATGAGCTCTTCTGAAACCTGTATCGTGTGCCATTTCTTGACAGTCAGAAACTGCCGAACAATTTGATAGCTGTTCGTCTGAGTTTTTGCGGGTGATAAGCCAGCTGATGATGTTTTGTTGTGAGAGAAAAATATTGTACCATGGCTGATGATGTATCGTGTCGTGATTACATTGTCACTGTTTGTCGTGTTTAAACCGTTGCTTTTGCCCTTTGGAATCTTCCAGAGGTAAATGTTTCCTCCAAAGACCAAAGGCACATGTGAGCTGGGCTATGCTCGATCTCCTGCTGATTCTTGTAGCATGCTGCACGGATCTGGAAAACATAGCTTTGTGTATATTACTCCTGCTGATTTTTGTTTGTTTGGCTGAATATTTTAAGCAACGCACTCGGATATGTTTGACTATCCTTCATCTCTGAACTGAATGGACCAGCCTCTGCACTTCTACTTCGTCCAAAAAAAACGTTTTTAAAAGTCGGGGGTTTGTGTTCTCGAGACGGAATTTGTTTGCGGGCGAGGACAGGGCGGGGCGTGCAGTTAATTCCCGCGGCGGCAGCGCAAGGGCGAGCGAGGCCACGTTTGCCTCCGCGCGACGTGCATGTGCTGCCCCGCGTTTGACTCGGCGCTGATTGGCAGTTCGCCGGCCTCGGAATCGGATCCCCTTCGCGCTCGCCGGGTCAGCGACAGGGCGAGGATTGTTTACGCACGGGAGCCACCTTGACCGGCAGCCGTCCCCATGTGACCCCCAACCGGGCCGGTCTCTGGCTCTCTGCCCGGCGATCCGTCCGTCCGTCTATATAAGCAGCGGCGGATGGCCGTGTGGTGTGTTGAGCTGCCGCGCCATGGGGGCCGAGAGCGCGAGCCCTCTGAACGGCGGATGGAATGGAACCGACCGGATCGGAGGGATGGTGTGAGTTGAGTGCCCAAGAGAAAGAGTGAACCTGCCAGCATTTTTAACTAGACAAGCCGGACATGCTCCTCGGCCAGGAGCGCCGTCCACGTCGCCGTAATTTTTTCCATCGTTCGATCTTGCAATCCGATGGCTTAGGTTGCTCCCGCGAGATTCTACCGAATCAGCTTCTGCTTTTTACTGTACAGCTTCTACCCGCTCTCTCTCCCGCAAGAATCAAACTACTCTTGCTTCTTGTCAGAATCTGGGCAAACGAATATATACTCAGCTTCCCTTCTCTTCCAGTGTCCAGATACTTCTTTGCCCCTGCCGATCCATCCGTAAAAAAAAAAAAGAAAAAACAAAAAAACAGCTCCTCCCTCTCTTCTCCCTCATTCTCCGACGCCCACAGGGGCGACGACGACGGCGCCGGGCGCCAGCGCCGCGCCGCGGCCTCCCTCCCTCCCTCCTCCTCCTCCTCCTCATCCGTCTCCTCCTCCCCTCTCCCCTTCCCTCCCGAGACGGTGGCGGGCGCGTGACGCCGGCGCTTGCCTGCAGGCGGCGTGCTGGCGCGGTTGGAGCCCGGCGGCTCCCTTCCTCCCCCCCATCCTCCGCGAGGACTCCTCAAAGACTCCTCAGATGGGTCCCGTGCGCTCTCCTGTGCCCGACAAAACCCTAGGGTTTGTCTGTACGGCCAGACGGCGTTCAGGCGCCGCGCAACCTCCTCGGCGTCCTGTTCTTCATCGCGCCCTTCGCCGACGACGAGTATCCAGGTACGCCGGCCCCTTCGCTTCCCTTCCTGCTGCGCGAAACCGAGCACCCAAACCTTGAACTTCTCTAATTTTTGGATAAGGCAGCTTAGCGCAGAAATTGCGTCATACAAGGGTTTGTCTGTACGGCCAGACGGCGTTCAGGCGCCGCGCAACCTCCTCGGCGTCCTGTTCTTCATCGCGCCCTTCGCCGACGACGAGTATCCAGGTACGCCGGCCCCTTCGCTTCCCTTCCTGCTGCGCGAAACCGAGCACCCAAACCTTGAACTTCTCTAATTTTTTGATAAGGCAGCTTAGCGCAGAAATTGCGTCATACATGCTCAGCGACTCTTCAATGGCCTTATCTCTCCAGGTACTAACCAATTCCAGCTCTTTTTTCACAAATATTCAGAGTTCATCTGCAGTATAGATGTGAGCCATTTATGTTTTTGATGATTCAATGAAGCACTATGCTATGGGCTGGTTCTTTGAGATCATGGTTCTGCATATTTTGTTGTTTGTAGCGTAAGAATGGGACAATAGTTGCTTGCGTGTTTGATAAAATGCACACCACGGTTCACATAGCTCCAAGTATTAAGTTCCTGTTTAATTTGGACAACTTCCAAAAGAAGTTGGTAAACAGTTTGTCTGGCACCAAATTTTCAAGTGTACTCTATAGCAGTGAACAATTTCGTATGAAGAATGAAAACCTATAGCATGTGTTTCTAGCCTGATTGGTTGGCCATGAGGATATCTATTAATTAGAATGGACCTGCCATTTTTCCATTCAGGTTGGAACAAGCATGATTACAAGTGGATGCGAAATGAATTTGGTAACAGCAGCTGGGAACCCCATGGGGCACAAATCTTGGTCCTGCGTTGGTCAAAACAAAGGCCGCAAAGAAGGAGCAGGAATACCTACTTACAGCAGCAACAGATTATGCGTAGGTAAAGGTATACAAGCAGCAGCATCTGTTAATGATTTTGAGGCCCTCCTCATCTTTTGCAATAGATATATAGGCTTCATTGAAAATTTTGAATTAACCCTTTCCTGATTTTCCATAGTCATGGGTTCCAATCTAAGATGTCCCAAATTATTGCTAACTGCAGAGAACGATGGCCTCATACTACCGTCCCTCATGATGAAATGTCTTCCTTGCTCAATTTGCTCTGAATAGCTATTGGATCTCAAAAATTGAAACCTGAATTTTTCATAATGTTTCAAGGTTTGTGCCTGATCTTGTGATCACCCTACCTGATATACATATCTCTATTCTTGTAGTTAAGTGCAGTTGTCTCGTCTATGTTTTACTTTGAAGTGTGTTTGCAGATAAACTAAATTAACAAGCCATCTGTCTCATTCTTTATTATTAGTGTTTATGTTGCTGCGAGCATTTTTCTGCTATGGTAATTTGTATCAAAGAGGGATTAGAAGAACAGTGTGTGAGAAGCCATAGTCGTATTGGTGTCTAATTAGACATCAGCCTGGTTTAGATTCTTAAATATTTACAGAAACCAGTGGGAAGTGCATTAACTGAGATAGCTTACAGTTTGCATGTAGTTTGGTGACTTTTCAGGTCAGCGTGCAGTGATCTCCAGAAGGTTCAGATGTGTGTACAGAAAGGAATTTTGGGTTGGGTAGTCTTATAGCAGTCCGTTACAGATCAGATGTAAGTTTAGTTCCATATATCCCACGTAAATTCTCAGATCCCAGTCTGACCCTGTATTGCGGACTTGGGTTTCCTTTTATTTTAATTCCAAATTATAAGTTTAGTTCCATGTATCCCAGCTAAATTCTCAGATTCCAGTCTGACCTTGTCTTGCAGACTCGGGTTTCCTTCTATTTTAATTCCAAATTCATCTCTTCCATAGATGTTTTTCCCTGATACCTTGGAAAATTACATTTGAATAAATAAGCCAACACACCTTTTGTTTCTGTGAACAAATAATATTGTTACTGCAAAATTACATTTGAATAGATGTTTCATGGACTGTGATAATTTTGCTATGTTTCTGTAAGAAAAAAGAGAGGCCATGGTTCACGCTTTTTAGTTTCCATTTTGATGGCGGATTCCCTTTTCTGTTAGCTCATTGCTTGGCATAATGCAGGTTTCCTCTGGCTTTACTGCAGTTACCTCATTGCTTGGCATAATGCAGTTACCTCATTGCTTGGCATAATGCAGGTTTCCTCTCTGCATTGCAGGTAAACAGCTTAACCCCCAAACTTCTTGCGACTCAGCTGAGCAGCACATCGCAAGGTATGTTGTGGAGATTAATTTGTTATCATTACTACTATATTGTTTGCCGCTTCCACCTTGTGCTCCTAAATTCATGTTGATGGCTCTGGGGTTCCTAATTCATGCCCCATGCTATATTATAGTAACTTAAAGTGGGTCTACACAGCTTATTCCATTCCTTCTGCTCTATCAGATATCAAAAACTCTTAAAAATATATACTTTTCTGGGAAGAAGACTCTATGTCTATATCCTCATGCCACCTTTACCTGTTAATTGGTTGTTTCAACTGACAAATATTTAGTGAGCACACATTTACAGTTAATAATTGGATGTCCGGTCTACTCCCGGTCTTCCATCTTTTCATGTTCCCTTGATAATTTTTGGGTGTTACTTACTATTTTGAAAAATGTGTCAGATACTGCTATCAACACTTGGCCTTCTTACAAAATAACATTTCTTTCTCGGCCCGTCGTAGCTTGATAGGACCCCCTCGGGGACTATCCACGTCGCCCAAAACTCCCCCAGCCGTCTGATCTTGAATCGTGTGGCTGTGATTGCTCGGATCGGATTTCACTGGAATCCGCTTCCGCCGCTCCTTAGTGCCTTCCACCGGCTTCCGGCTTCTACTCCAGAGCCAGCCCAGCGAATATATACCGCGGCTTCCGATTTTGGGTCCACATAGTCGGCCTCATCTCTTCCCCGTCCTCCCCCATTCCTCCCGCGGCTCGCACGGACGCCGCCGCCGCCCGCCTGCCGCTCCCACCCCCGCTGCCGCTCCCGCAGCCGCTCACGCCTCCCCTTCCTCTCCTTCTCTCCCACGGCGACGCACCGGCTACGGCCACGCCGCTGGTCGCGGGTGCAGGTGGCGCGCAGCCCCGGGGCGGCGCGGCTGGCGAGGGCGCCGCCGGCGACCGGCGTGGAGGCCGGCGCGGGTGGCTCGGCGACGACCCGCCGCGACCAAGCCACAGGTAAAGGCGGCCTCCCTCCCTTGCTCCTCGTCTCCTTCACACTCGGCCGCCTGGGTCAACCGGGGATCTGCATGCTTCTCGTCCACCTTTGCTAGGGTTCATCCGGGGCCTCCATGACCGGATCCAGTGCCTCCATGGCCGGATCCGTTAGTTCCCCCATATGATTTGCGTCTGGCGTTGAGGGATGCGACATGGGGGCATCCTGCAGCGTTATGGGCTCTAGGATCTGTGCTTGTCGGCGTATGGCGGCCTGTGCAGCCTTGCCCGCTGATTAGCATGAGCGTAGAGCACCGACAGCTCCGGCCTGCCGCGTCGGCGGCTGGTCTGGAACTGCTGCTGCCCGCCGTCTACTCAAGCGTGGCCGCTGTCTGCTCAAGCGTACAGTAGTTGCGGCCATGTCATGCGTACACCTTGATGTGGAGAAAGGTTTGTGCAATCAACACTTGAGCACCCTAGCAGTTTATATGTAGCAGGCAGGTGTTGATTGAATCCAAGATTAAAGATGCCCGGTGCCCTTTGATCTAGGAGAGAGATAAGATATAGTGCGGTGTAAGCTTAGAATGATTACTTATATTAAATTTTATTGTTGCAGATTGCTCCATCAAATGTCTCTTAAGGTTGTAATGGAAAATTTAGAAGTAAACTGATAAGAAGCAGGTGTTCAGGTGCTTCTTATGATGAAGTAAACTGATATTCGCTGGGCTGGGTTGTATTGAAAAATTTAGAAGGGTACCTGCTGACACATAGAAACAAGTTGAGTTTTATATTAAAAAGTCTGTGTTCTAATTTGCATTTGCACATCCAAAATGATTTCGGTATTAGCAGAATGAAATTTGGGTGTGCATGCTGTGCTTTCTTTTTCAGCTTAATGCCAATTGATGCTTTTGTTTGCCGCATGCCAACACTTGGGCTACCGTATGATTTATGTTTGATTTCAGATTGTGCATATGTCTTCAAGTTACTTTAATCAATATTCCATCTATTTTTACTAGATTTGCCACATCCACATGTTCAGTTGACCAAATATTAACTGATTTATTGTTGCTTATTGACATGGCATATTTACATAATACAGATATAGATGTGCTTGCCCTATTATTAGTCCTAATGATTATAGTTACAAATATTTGTTTACTCTACACATGGATGTACTGTCTATTAGTCCCTTCTTTTATAAAATGAAACTGCAGTATAGCACCCATTTAGTATTATAATGACCTTCAAAGAAAAGCTGGCTGACAAGTTCATACTTTTTTTTGTTTTTCCCCTGTTTCCTATATGGAATTTCCCTTTTTCCTTTTAATGTGTTATTTTTAGACCTTACCATCTGCTTGCAGTCACAGCACCTATTGCATGTGTTACCTATAGGATTCAGGTACACTAATCATCCCTCGGCACTCATTACCTTAACAGTACAGGTTTCATACAGACTATAACTCATTCAGAAACACACATACCTAGATTGATGAACCGGTAGCTTCTGACTCAAAACAAAGATGGAGAGTTCACTGGACAGCAGAGCAAGGATGTGCCCACGTCTCAAGCTAGCCATGTATAATAACCGTGCTCTTGTGCACAGCATCGCTATTAATGTACAAAAGCACCTATTAATGTAATGTAGATCCTCTGCTTTGCACTGTAAATCAGGTGACATAAGCCTATGCCTTTGTTTGTGTTTGTAAAAGCACAGCCATATCCAATCCTGACTCAGACCAGTTTCTGTACAAATATTTCAGTGTAAGCATAGTAATGCTTTATCTTAACACCGCGTTGTTTCCTTATATATTTGAACTTTTTCATGTGCATGTTACAACCATAATCTATTTAGCCAAAAGTCCAACCATACTACATCGGCATTAGGTTTCCTGAATTCGCAGCCACAAAGGCTCGTACTGCTAACCGATATGCATATAGGGAGCAATAGGCGATAGTAGTGTAACATTGAGTTAGCCAATATTTGGGTAGGGCAAAGACATGCCTTTGGGTTACATGTCGTTCCTTACTGACTGAATCGACGCTATTTGTTTGATGCAGGATCAGCCATTTCAGAATGACATCTTTTATGTAACATGGTTTCGATCTGCTATTTTCCTGTCTATTGCGTATAGGGAGCAATAAGCGATAGTAGTGTAACGTTATCTTTTACTTGCTGTTTGTTTGGTGACCATATATATTTTTTTTGGGGAAATTAGGACAGTCTTTTCTGTATAGTGTTGCTCCAAATTATAATCTGATTTCTGTCATCTATTCGGTTTCGCCTAAACTATTTCATATGTTGCTGCAGGCACCGTTTTATTTTACGATTCATGCCCTTTGTGTATTGACCTAATTTGCTGTTGCTCTTGCTATTATTATGAGATAATACAGGATCCTCAGTGGATTATTTCGCTCTGCTAGACAGAAGGTGCTACGTCGTGCTCAGTTGGATAGCTGTTCGGTGTTCCTCAAGATCCTCTACTTGATTCCTGCTTGCTCTCAGGTAAGAGCGGCTCATCCTTGTATGCACACCTATTCTGCAGAGCAGTGCTTCTTATGATGAAGTAAACTGATATCGATCTCCTTTCTTTTGGGTTCTGCAAACACATTAGAAGGACGCGGTCGCTTCTTACGGCTGTCTGGATATCGACACTGGTTTTAGTTTTGGCTCCGCACGAAGGCTTTGCCAAAAAAAAAAAAAATTTTAGATCCGCAAAATTCCCACCAAAAGTTTTTTTCTCGGCAAACGAATTTTTTTTGGCAAACCCAGCATTGGCATCATGTTTGATTTATGTTTGATTTTCTACACAAGTAACACAGCCGAGGGCCACTGGTGATGACGAATTGGACATTATAAGTCATAAAAATTATTTGGACTGCTTTCAAAATTAGTTTTTTGCTGTTATACATGGGTTCACTGCTTTCTTTTCCAACTGTATGCCAATGGATGCTTTTGTTTGCCGCATGCCAACACTTGGGGTACCGTATGATTTATGTTTGATTTCCTACACGAGTAACACAGCCAAGGGCCACTGGTGAGGACGAGCTGGACATTATAAGTCATAAAAATTATTTGGACTGCTTTCAAAATTTGTTTTTTGCTGTTATACATCTAAGGCTCTTACTGCTAACCGATATGCATATAGGGAGCAATAGGCGATAGTAGTGTAACATTGAGTTAGCCAGTATTTGGGTAGGGCAAAGACATGTCTTTGGGTTACATGTCATTCCTTACTGACTGAATCAACGCTATTTGTTTGATGTAGGATCAGCCATTTCAGAATAACATCTTTTATGTAACATGGTTTCAATCTGCTATTTTCCTGTCTATTGCGTATAGGGAGCAATAAGCGATAGTAGTGTAACGTTATCTTTTACTTGCTGTTTGTTTGGTGACCGTATATTTTTTTTTTGAGAAATTAGGACACTTTTTTCTGTACAGTGTTGCTCCAAATTAGAATCTGATTTCTGTCATGTATTGGGTTTCGCCTAAACTATTTTATATGTTGCTGCACGTACCGTTTTATTTTATGATTCATGCCCTTTGTGTATTGACCTAATTTGCTGTTGCTTTTGCTATTGTTATGAGATAATACAGGTTTCTCGGCGTGCATCGCTGTCCTGGGTTGGGTTATTTCGCTCTGCTAAACAAAAGGTACTACGTCGTGCTCAGTTGGATAGCTGTGCGGTGTTCCTCAAGATCCTCTGTGCTTGATTCCTGCTTGCTCTCAGGTAAGAGCAGCTCATCCTTGTATGCACACCTATTCTGCAAACCAGTGCTTCTTATGATGAAGTAAACCGATATCAGTCTGCTTTCTTTTGGGTTCTGCAAACACATTAGAAGGACGCGGTCGCTTCTTACTGCTGTCTGGATATCGACACTGGTTTTCGTTTTGGCTCCGCACGAAGATTTTGCCAAAAAAAATATTTCAGATCTGCAAAATCCCCACCAAAAGTTTTTTTCGCGGAAAACAATTTTTTTATTTGGCAAACCCAGCATCCGATTTGGTGGCCGCGGCGATGCGGGGACGAGACGCGGCGAGGCTCTTATCTCCGACAAAAGAAGACGCGTAGCTGCTATCCACCACGGATACAAGGTATACATCCTCCACCTCACCCTCATTCCTTGCTCAACCTAATATCTAGGATTACGATTCATACACCCATGGTTACCGTCGTAACCAGCAAAGAAGCCAAATTTTCCACAAATCATTTTAGTCATACTACAGCTCACAGGTAGACCATAACAACCTACCGGTGCTTAGGCACCAGAACAGCCACATGAATCTAACTGTAGAGTTCTTCCCTGCACACTGCAGACAACATACAATTGTGCTCCTTTTCTTTTTTTTTAATAGATACGAAGACGGCCTTTATTCAATGTATGCCAAGAAATTTCTTAGATATTACATTAATACTGTTATATATATATATATATATATATATATATAGATGCCAAGACGCCCTTTCTCCAATCTCACAATCATCGACAACACAGATCTGACAGATCTCGACACAAACTCTTTTGCCAATGCCATCATGGTAGCTGCTCCAGACACAGCTTCACTCCCATGCAATGCCTATGAGCTGAGAGATGCAATCTACCAGCATCATGGAATCACCATAGCCCTCGAAAGCATATCCTACTATGGGCCAGGATTTTTCCTTCGCCTACCCACACCAGCTGCCAAAACCCACCTGCTAACCAACTGTTTCATAAGCATCAACAATAACAACTTCGTATTCATGCCATGGAAACAGCAACACGGTGCCACCTCAGTTCCACTGCAGGATTTGCTCAGATCCAATCCATTAAATCTGCACCTCGCTAAGGATACCCCTACAAACGAACCATACGAGCGACTCATCATCTACATCTCGGGCATGCCACCGCACCTATGCTCCAACTCAGTCCTATACTGACTGTTTGATAGACTTTGCACTATCAATGAAATAAACTTCATATCTGCTACCCTCCAATATGAGATAACAGTCCGTGGCCAGCTCTCTGCACTGCCCCTCTAGGCCCACATAGGTCTCAGAAACGCTCCAGCGACCAATGATATTATCGATATCTGGCCACTGAAATATGAAATACTCACAGAGCAAATGCAAGGCAGGGACACTCCACCAGAGGAACGCATCTCTCATATTCGAGGTAATTATTGATTGACAGCGCAACGAGAATTAATACGTCCACCTACCCCACGTTTTCCTAGACGGTAAACGGTAAACGGGCGGTGACCCTCCGTTTAGCGTTTAGACTGTGTAGACGCCGTTTAGACGGCGTCTAAACGGATTAAACGGTTTTGTTACTGTAGCAAGGTTTCTGGCAGAATTTCTCTTAAGGGCAGGGGCACGAGCTGGCTCTGGCTGGTCCACGGATGCACGAGTCGATCCGGCAGATGACATCCTGCAAATGGCATGTCATCGACCTTTCAATCAGAGCATAACAGAGCAAGATTGATGCAATTCATGGTGCTAATTCGAAGTAAATGGAATCAGAGCAAGATTGAATCATAACAGAGCAAGATTGATGCATAACAGAGCATAACAGAGCATAACAGAGCAAGATTGATGCATATCAGGGAATCAGAGCAAGATTGAATCAGAGCATAAGCATAACAGAGCAAGATTGAGAGCAAGATTGAAGTACTTAATCGAGCTAATCAGGAACAACAAGTAAATGGAAGAACGGACAGAGCGAAGACACGGGATTGGGAGGCAGTTCGGTCGGAGGAGGCGTCAAGGCTGGAGCTGCTGCTGCTCGGGAGGCGGCGTCACGGTACTGGAGGAGATTGAGGCGCGCGACGCGCAGGGCGGAGAGCCGCGACGCCTGCAAGAGCTGGAAGTTGGCCTCGTCGCCCGCTGTGTTGGTCGACGACGCACAGCGTCTGAGGAGGGAGCAGCGACGCGAGCGCGCAGCTGCAGGTCGGCCTCGTCGCCCGGCGCTACTGGGACGACGTCTTGCGAGAGCTGGCGGCGGCGTCGTCGACTGAGCTGAGCAGAACGGGGAAATTTCCTCTCAACCCTAGCCTCCGGTACTTGTACCCGGCCCAAAACTTGTCGAGGAGCCCGCCAAGGCGCCAACTCTTCCCGCCTGCTGCTCCCGCCCCGTTCCCTCTTCCCGCCTCCCTCCCGGTTCCCTTCCCGCCTCCCGCATGCTGCTCCCGCGCATCGATTTGGGCCTCGGCCATCACCTAAACGCCTGCTTATTCCCGTTCCAGCGTCCATTCCCGTTTCCTGCCGTCCCGTTTAGCCCGTCTTCAACGTTTATTCCGTTTTGACCGTCTAAACGGGAAAGCCGTTTAACTGTCCGCCCAGGCCCTAAACTTCACGGCACCCTGTCGTTTACCGTCTAAACGCGTTTAGACGGCCGTTTAAAACCGTTTAGGAAAACGTGGCACCTACCTATGCTTGATTTATCACAATAACTCTTTTTTCTCCTTTTGTTTCATACAGGAGACTCAGTGCTCGATACGTCAGACCGCCGCGACCTATACTCCTACTCCGATGATGAGATCACATCTCATCCACATGGTACAGCCACAGCTCATGAACTCCAAAAACAGCTCCTTATATTTATGCTTGCTACCACGTCCCATAAGTACAGCCACATAACCTAAAAAAAGCTAATGCCTCCTACCCAACAAAGTCATCAGCTATCATTGTCTGCATACAAAAATAATTAGGCACACAAATCAATTACTCGCTCTAACACAAACACTAATATCACGCAGTTGCTTGTGCAGGCCCACATCTCCATCCACCTGAAGACGACTCCTGCTACAACCGCAAGTCCATGCTAATACTTAATCAACCGATCAGTTATTTACACATACAACTCTTTACTAATTTGCGGTTATGAAACTTGTGTCTCTGCAAACAATGCTCCACCACAGCTACTCCAAAGCGCAATTCCGAAGCTGATGAATCCAGTTAGGAAACAAACAGCGCCAGCGGCCGCCTCTGAAGACAAGCGCACACGCCAACAGCTACTCCAACAGAGTCTGTTAGCCCAGAAGTTTATCAACTACCGCCTCTAATTATTGTAGTTTTTATATAGCCCGTATGTACTGTGATAGCAGCAAATACTCTTGTAATATAGATACCTTTTAACCTTCGATGTACTAATGAACCGCCATCCTATATCCATATTTAGACTTCTATCTCGCACAAATACACTGACTTTAGATCCCTGCAATTGGTTGCCGCGACACCTGACGGGCGCGCGAATGCGCGCGCCCCAGATACTAGTGATCTAACAACAGCATTGCTCCTCGTGTAGCGCCTGTGCTTGTCTCCATGGAGAAGACAGCTGCTTGGCTTAGCTTCGCTTAGCATCCACCATGGAGTGGAACACACATGTCATGGTGTGGGTTGCTGCGCGAGGCTTGCGAGTGATGGTTAGATCATGCTGTGACAGTTTCACTCTTTCCCTATGGGCACATCGATCGGAAGTGCAGACAGTCAACCAACACGACAATCAGGTGTGCTGCGCATACATACTCATAGTCCATACCCTCCTCCTCTCTCTCTCTCTCTCTCTCGTTGCAATCGTGAATACACACTCGTCAGTCGTCACTCGTACACAAATTCTACCACTCGCCAGTCTCCACTCTCTGCGATTAGGAAGCTAGACACTTCTTTCCTGCTCTTGATTTGTACATACTAAGATTGTGCTCTGCAACCACTGAATGTTGGTCTCTTAACAGGAAAAATGTCGCAGCAGAACCCTCCACGAGGAAAATTAACCAAAGATGCTTACCACTTGCAATGATCTTGTCAGCTGCCACTCGTCTGACCCACGGTTTGCAATGCTATTTATTGTCAATTTGTTATGATGGATTCGTACTGTTTATTTTTTTTTCCACATAGGCAACAAAAAGGTTCCTCATATTATTATCTTTCATAGAGGAACTGCTGGCCATTTTATTCTTAATGAAAACGCATGTTGCTCCGTGGTCGATCTTGTTTTTATAATTGACATTCACAATGTGACAGTGAGCTCCATCACCTCACAACCAGGCATGGCTGCATCGACGACTCCACTCGCTTCCCCATCGCACTTCGCACACCTCATGAATTAGAGCTCACGATTTATAGAACATATTATAGGAAAAACATAAGATTATAGTTGAATGTCAATTGTCCTACAGAGATTATGAAGCTAGGAAAGTTTCTAATATAGTGTTTGGAAGCAAATATATAGGAAAAAGAACAATACAGGAATTAGAAGAAGGGGAGACAGCCAAAACCACAAAGGAGGTTGGATGTCATGTTAGATTAGCTCAGAAATTTCTACGGATTGAGCCATTCCATAGTAGCTGTAGGATTTCAGTATGGCCACTTCCTTGTTCCAACTTCCAAAGGGCTACACAAAACACATAGGACAAATTCATATAGAAATCCGTTCTAGCCCTACAAAATTCCTTCGTGAATCCGTTGTTCCAAAAGCAACCCAGCAAGCCTGCAACCGGCGAAGCACGTCGCGTGATTTGTGTTTCTTGGACTACAGTGTCTACGACAAGTTTCTGCTCGCCGCTGCTTCACGACGACTCCAGCTTATTCTGTTTCAGAAACTCGAGGTCCTTGAGCTGCCGCTGCTGCACTTCCTTGGACACGGTCCTCTCGTCCCGCTTCCTCTCACCGGAGACCACCTGCTTGGCCATGGACGCCACCATCCTCTCGACCGCCGGCCTCCCGACGGAGGGGAAGACCGCGTTCAGTATCGTCCGGAGAAGCTTCTCCTCCTCTTCCTCCACCATGTCCTGCCCGAAGCAGCAGACGTAGATGGCTTCCAGGGCCTTCTCCGCCCGCGTTTCCATCGGTATCTGCGGAGCTGGAGCCTTCAGCTTCGCCCTTTTCTGCATCAATCAGTCATCACACACAATTCATCTTCTCTGATTAGAGCATACGCCGTTGTAATGCAGATAGCATAATGATGTTACCGTCAGCAAGGGCAAGAGCAGAAAGCTCTTAACATTACCTCCCTTGCCGCCCTCATCATGTCGATGAACGTCTCCTCCTCGAACTCGATATCGTTGGAGATGCGGAGCCGCGCCACGCCTTCCAAGATCTCCTCTGTTTTGAGCAGCCCGGCACCAATGGCGGCCAGCCAGCAGCACAGCAGAACGTAGAAGGGATCTCCCGGCTGCCCAACGACGCGACGAAAAGATTTCTCATTCCGTTCCATTCAGAAGCTGTGCGCAGCCACATAGATAGATAACCAGAGCAGCAGAGCGAAGGTACCTTTCCGCGGCGCTGGTTGAAGTCGTAGAAGGCCTTGGAGTCCATGACGGTGCACTTCTTGCTGACGCGGCGGCGGAACTCGGCGAAGTCGATGATGTCGCCGCCGACGCCGCCCTCGTCGTTGAGGATGCGCGCCACGAGGCCCACGACGGGGAGGGCGCCGATGAGCCGCCCCGCGATGGCCGCCGGCGAGTTGGGGTTCGGCTCCATGTACGCCACCACGGCTCCGTACCGCCGGCGCCGGCCGTGGGCCGCGGGCCGGCGGTGGCACGGGAGGAACGGGGCCGTGAGAGCGAGCTTGTGGGCGACGGGTAGCGCCCCCATGCCCGCCCGCCGATCGGATTGACGCCTTATGTACGTGTGTGGTGCCCGTGGCGTGGCGTGGGGCGCGGCTTATCTGCTCATGGACGAACCTGTTTAGAGCTTGGACTTTGGACTCTGATGATGGCGGGCGGGCGGGTGCGCGGGTGGCTGTGGCAACCGCGTCAGCCCTGCCGGTGTTCGTGCCTCGCCGAGTGGCACTTGCCGGTGCCCGCGCCTCGAATCGACGGGGTTGCCGTCTTGCCGAGCACCTCGCACCCTTGCCTCGCCGTCCGGCAGCCTTGCGCGGACTGGGGACGTGGGGAGTGGCCGAATGAATGGGGATAGGATAGGACAGGGGTAGCGTTCCC